AATTAGAATACTGCGCTCCCGTTTTTCATCACGCACTCCCGGCTTATCTTAATGAGGATATAGAAAGAATTCAGAAAAGAGAGCTTTTCATAATTTCACCTGCCATGTCATATCGGGAATGCCTTGACAGCCTAGGCCTGCCAACGCTATATGATAGACGCAACGGACTATGTAGACAATTGTTCGATTCCATTGCTATCACTCCCGGACATAAGTTATACCACCTGCAGCCACCAAGAAAACAATCCAGCTATAATTTAAGGCGTCAAAAGTTATATAATTTGCCACGTTTCCATACGGAACGTTTCAGACGCTCTTTTGTTTATGCTATGTCCCAGGGTTGCACATAAAGATCTTCGTTAAAGTTTCAAAGAAGTCGACTTTATTGTAAGATTTTTATACTTATTTTTAGCTTTACTACACAAGGTACTTATATTCATATGATTGTAATTAGTTTTATATTTTAACTAATGTTATTTGTAAAATACGCAATTCAGTTTTACGAGTGCAAAGTATTTATACAATAAACGATTTATCCTATCCTATGCTAGAAAATTCAAGTTCTAAATCAAACTGGAAAAGCTTTAATAACATTTTTCTGTCTGAATGTTCAAAAACCTAAACTGAGAGAGTGGCTGAAACAACAAAGCTTCACTTTCGATTTCCACGTAAGACAACGGTACAACCTCCTTAATCAAACCAAACCCTTGGTTAACTTCAACTGTATGATAACAAGAAGTGTATACGTTAATAGTTTTATACATGAACTGGAACAATATTTTCGTTTTTATGGAAATATGCACATCTCGGACTGTAAAAAAATAATCCTCCCACTCAAATATCGAAGAGAAAAGAGTCCTCAGTCAAGTTATTCTGACTAACTTGAAATAATTTTCAACAAATAAAGTGGATTAAAACTGAGTTTACAATAACTGCGTCCACTTTGGGTTTTACTGCGCTCTGTGATTGGTTTACTTTCTCAGCCACTTTGACTTACTCGGGCTTCAACATCTGATTGGTTGATTTTGTTATTTTATCTGTTCTTATTGATCACAATTATCGCTTTAGTTCGGTTTTTTCAACGCCTGAGGAAAAACTTTCTTTAATAATTTTAAATCATTGGCCTGGTAACAGAAGACATACAAGCAACGTCTTCATCAAAAATTATTGCCAAGATACACAAATGACCACAAGATAAAATATGCCAAAAGGACCTCAAGAATATACCCACAACGATTCCGGTAAAATTCATATTAAGTTTTTACGTTTTAAAGAAAAAAAGCCAAATTTAGGAAAGAAAGGGAGCTAGCGATAGAGTCTTGAGCCCGGGTTACTACACTTATCTGTTATCGGTCTTACATTCCTTTAACCATAAGAGAACAATGATTATCTCTATAGGCCATTAAGAAAGTCTTTTTTACGCTGAAACAGACAAGAAAAGCAACGAAAACAGGCAACGGTCATTAATTCCACGTAAACAGAAGATCGGAAATCTAACTAATGAGGTCATGATGCTGACGTTACGAATTGCGCATGGCGCGACGTGTTCAGTAAAAACAAGCAGGGTAATCTAGTGCCAAGAATCTGCACTACCTTTGCGATGACCATGTGCTCCATGCCTTTACAATAATATTGGTCAGCGGTCACCTGTCCTGGTCGTGCCGAAAACAAAAAGTCGTGCCCTTAAAAAAGTCGTGCCGAAAAAAGAGTCGTGCCGAAAAAAAAGTCGTGCCAAAAAAAACGGTCGTGCCGAAAAAAAAGAGTCGTGCCGAAAAACAAAAATCGTGCCGAAAGAAGAAGTCGTGCCAGAGAAAACTAACGTCGTGAAAAAGAAACTTGATGAGAAAAATTAGGTCGCACTAACTGGGCTCCGTAGTTAGTGCCATCTAATATTTCTCATCAAGTTTCTTTTTCACGACGTCAGTTTTCTCTGGCACGACTCTTTTTTTCGGCACGACCTTTTTTTTTGGCACGACTGTTTTTTTGGCACGACTTTTTTTTTCGGCACGACTTTTTCTTTTTGGTACGACTCTTTTTTTTTCGGCACGACTCTTTTTTTCGGCACGACTTTTTTTTTTTCGGTATGACTTTTTTTTTTGGCACGACTTTCTTTTTTTCAGCACGACTATTTTTTTTGGCACGATTTTCTTTTTTTCGTTATGACTTTTTTTTCGGCACGACTTTCTTTTTTCGGTATGACTTTTTTTTTTTGGCACGACTTTCTTTTTTTCGGTATGACTTTTTTTTTCGGCACGACTTTTTTTTTCGGTATGACTTTTTTTTTTGGCACGACTTTCTTTTTTTCAGCACGACTATTTTTTTTGGCACGACTTTTTTTTTTCGGCACGACTGTTTTTTTTGGCACGACTCCTTTTTTTCGGCACGACTTTTTGTTTTCGGCACCATTTTTTTCGGCACGACCAGGGGTAGGTACTTCATATATGATTATTATTATTATGTACCTAAACATTCATATTATATCTTATCATATAATATTAATATACTATAATACACCTAGAAGTATCACCATACACCCCTATACATCGCCATACACCCCTATATATTAAACTCTCTACATCACTATACATCCCTATACACCACCATACACCTCTATACATCACTATTCATCCCTATACATCCCCATATACCCCTATACAACACCATACACCTCTATACGTGAAGTTCTTGGAAGGATAAACAAATGAGTTTTGAATAACAATATGTATGCCTATTATTTGGTGTTTGCTCATTCATAACATTAATTCAAAATAAGATCATGAGGCTATAGAATCCATGTGGCATTTAAATTATCGATGCTTTTACAGCTGTTTTTTTGGATAATACTCGACCTGCGATGCCAAAAACGTCTTTGGATTTTGTGTTTTTTCTGCGATGTTAATCACAATATGAATTGAAGAAGCGGCGCTTTCTTCGCTTTCTTGCCTTTACATTTTAGCGAAGTCGTGCCGCAAAAAAAAAGTCGTGCCAGAGAAAACTGACGTCGTGAAAAAGAAACTTGATGAGAAAAATTAGGTGGCACTAACTGGGCTCCGTACACTAACTGGGTTCCGTAGTTTAGCCTGCGAGAGCACCCGGTTTTTGGAACTCGAAACTTGAGCCGAAAAAACCGGATGCTCTAGCAGGCTATGGTTGGTTTGTTTTTCGCGCTTTCAAGAGTTATTTTTATTGGAGTTGATTAGATGTTGGGTCGACCTACCAAAAGGTTGAACGAATGTAGTTTACTTTTCAGCGAAAATTTGCGAAAAATTTGCGAAATACCAAAATATTAAGAAAAAAAAAAACATGGACGTGTGGTGCATAAATGCCTTAGATAATTAAACGTGCTAGATGGAAGCAACCATAAGTATGCGGAACCGATTATAAATGTGATTAAAATATGCGGTATCGTTATTTACTAGACGATTTTCGACGCGGTATTTCGGTATTTGCCATAGTATTTTGTTACGGTATTGCGATATTGGGTACCCCTCAATGTCCCCCTCTATTTATACGTTAAAATTAAAAAAAACGATATTCATAGAAGACTTAAATATTCATTAGATACTACATTATAGAACACTATCTATTCATCTTCATCGAAAAAAAATGGATATTTGGGCCCATTAAATAATTATAATTTCAAGGAGTTTGTGTTACCCCAGTTGCGTGACGGTTTCAACATTTTATGCATTTTATGCAAAAACATCGAAAGTGAACTTCGCGTTTACCTCTCTCGACGGGTTGCTTGTTAATTGCCCAAGCTGGAATTTTTTATATGTTGTACTACAACAGTAGGGCTTTACTGAGGTATAACAATTCTATATACCAAGCCGTGATTTTTTTCTTCAAAGTTTCGCAAAAATTCATTGTTCATGAAAGTGCTGAAGGTAGGAATCTTCGGGTGATTTTTAACCGAGAAAAAAAATGCATTATCTTGCAATATTTTTACCAAATAGCATTGCAACTAGAATGACTTACTTACCTGCCAAAGATCGATGAACCTGCTTCCTTGGACCGCCTTTCTTCTCGAGGGCTTTGAAAATGGTATAATTCAAAAGGTTTTGGACCGGCGACTATATGACGTGGGGCAGCATTTCACTTTTTGGCGGTTTTCTCGAAAATGAAAATTTGATTGTGAATTTCGAACATGTTTCACCAAAGGGTTCTTTCTGAAGTATTTCGAAATTTCAGTTTTGACGGCGAATTGTCAGTCATACAGACAGCCGCTCTTAAGTATTATAGCGAAAACCCTAACCCTAAATAGAAGCTAACCATTAATTTACCCTAATCAGCATTGTCACTGCTTAACCCAAATCACTATTGCTGGTTTTCAGTGTCACGCCATTCAAAATAGATCAAAATCAAAATCAAAACCGTTCAATAGATAAAGTCCAGAATCTGGGAAGTGAAAGGAGGTACATATACAAAGACCCTCGCCAAGATTCAGGTCAGAGGAATATTTGGTATACGAGATATCCAAAGAGCTGTTTTACCCAAAGTTATAGAGACGCCATGCTGGTGCTCAGCTGGATGAGCTCCAACATGGGGGACGGAAACCACAAAAACTCATAAACAGTAAAGTAATTCTTTTTCTAATAAAGGAACTGTTTCGATAACAAAATTTCCTGAAATGAATCATTTTTTTTTTAACCTACATGACAGCTCTCCTGGCCTTCATATAAATGCCGCGTCACGCGAAATTCAAGCGTACTCTATCGCTGAACGTACCAAGAACCCTTTTGAAGCAAAAATTTGTATGAAAATAAGTTTCCAGCTGCTCTAATGTATTGTGAAAGTAAAATCACGGTAGGATCGATAGTTTTTTAGTTTGAATTTTAGTGACGTCATGTGAAAACCAACAATTGTCTGGAGGGCTCACTAACATATATGAAATGACTTTGTGTAGGCATCACAAGGTCTCCAAGGGCAGTTTGAGATATGAAAACAAGTGTTAACCCCTACAAGTAAGTTGTAGTACGTGCTTTTTTCCATTTTCCAAGATGGGGAACAAAGGCATGGAAGACCTTATCCCTGTTATGAACAAAATTCAAGATGCTTTTGCGCATATAGGACAACCATCCTCTATAGATTTGCCTCAGATTGCCGTTGTGGGAAGCCAGAGCGCTGGTAAAAGTAGTGTTTTAGAAAACTTTGTTGGAAGGTGAGTGTAAACGTTAATAGCTAACAAGAATCAATCGGTGTTTACAACTCGAACATTGGCATCAACGGCCTGAATGTATTCAATATTCCAGGGATTTCTTGCCGCGAGGATCCGGCATTGTCACAAGAAGACCACTGATTCTTCAACTTCATCCGGAGAAGTCAGGTGATCTACAATGGCTCGTAACGATTGTTTCAAATGTTTAGCATTTGAAGTGGAAAATTGAAAATAGCAGATCTGTTTTGTTACTTTTCGTCCAGTGACTGACATTGTCCTGATAACAGTCGTGCCCATTAAAAAACACTGTAATTGGCTATATGCCCGGCAGCCGGGAAGGGTCTTAAAAAAACTAAATGCCTGGCAGTTAGAAAATTTTTTGGATTTTCTTCGAAACCCCCCTTTCTAATCGTCTGAAAGTACTCTATCTTCATTTAAAATCACCAAGCGATCAGGAAAACAGGAATGGCTTCGCAGTTGAGCGTTTGTGTTTTCTTGGGCATAGAGTAGTGTCTACGCCTTTTCGACATTTCGAAAAATTTCGTGAGTAGCAGCGCGTGACTCACAGGCACGTTTTCGCACAGGCCAAATAGAGGGGGACATTGGGGGTATCCAATACTGCAATACCGTAACAAATTATGGCAAATAACGAATACCGCGTCGAAAATCGTCTAAATACCGATACCGCATATTTTAACCACATTTATAATCGGTTCCGCATACTTATGGTTGCTTCCATCTAGCACGTTTAATTATCTCAGGCTTTCATGCACCAGATGTCCATGTTTTTTTTAATATTTTGGTAGTTCGCAATTTTTTTGCAAATTTTCGCTGAAAAGTAAACTACATTCGTTCAACCGTTTGGTAGGTCGACCCAACATCTAATCAACTCCAATAAAAATAACTCTTGAAAGCGCGAAAAACAAACCAACCATAGCCTGCTAGAGCATCCGGTTTTTTCGGCTCAAGTTTCGAGTTTCAAAAACCGAATGCTTTCGCAGGCTAAACCAACCAAAACCATTTCCACGCACGTCTAGTGCGAGTTTTGATAAGTGAGTCTAGTTTGGCAAGTCAGTCTGATAGGGGTCAACTTTCTCGGCTGTCTCACACGCCGTGCCGGTAAGAGGCAAACTTACCAAATTTTCTCTTTTAATTTTACAAGGCGTTTTTCAATTCTCGAAACCCGACATCTAAACTTATTCTTGTTGCGATAATGTTCGCCTCCTTCGCCTTCTTCATAAAAAATTGCCACACAGTCAATGATGTGTGATGACCACGCCGTCTTCAACCTCAGCGACTTTAGCCATTGTGAGAAAACGTGGAAGACCTCGAATTACCGGCACAGATACACAGATCGAAAAGCCTGGTGAGGTAACTTGAGACGACTCATTATCATTGGATGCAACAACAATCACATTGTATATTATCGACCATTAACTGTCACAAAATGACCCACGAATGGTGTAATCATTTACCGTTATGTCTCAAGACTTCTAAATATTAACTTTTATTGACCTTTATGTCCTACTGTGTTTTGTTTTGCGAAAGAAAAGCGCAAATAAAAGGTACCGTAAAACCGTGAACAATCTTATTTCACCGAATACCGTCTGCCAAAATGATGAAGAATTGCATACCGCAGAGCTAGATGATACCTCAATACCGCACGTTAAATTAAGAAATACGGCATGAAAAAAAGCCTAATACCACAATACCGTAAACCCCCATGTCCCCTTCTAAATAATCGGCTGTCCGAGAGGCGACTGAAAAGTTAGGAAGCCTATTATTAAGCCAAAGAATACATACTTCCCTCGATTATTTTCCCAAAGCAATAACAAGGATACAGCGCTTTCATTTTCAAACCTCATTTTGCAAGGCCTCTAGCCGCGTGAAGGTAAACTCTCGACACAGCTTGAGTCCCCCTCAAAATATTCTATCCTTGTTTAGAATTGGAAAGTAATGGAAAACCAACAGCGTTTTTCGAAATCCCTTTTTGTAATCGTCTGAAAGTATTCTATCTTCATTTAGAATCAACAAGCGATCAGGAAAACAGGAATGGCTTCGGAGTTGAGCGTTTGTGGTTTCCTGGGCATAGAGTAGAGTAGACGCAGTTTCGACCCTTCGAAAATTTCGTGAGTAGCAGCGCGTGACTCAGAGGCACGTTTTCGGACAGTCTAAATTACTCGGCAGTCTGAGAGGCGACTGGAAAGTTACAAAGCGTATTGTTAAGCCAAAGAATACATACTTGCCAGCGCTTTCATTCTCTGTTTTCCTGATCGCTTGGTGAACACCCTTTCCGGCTGCCGGGCATATTGTCGGTTTTCACATGACGTCACTAAAATTTAAACTAAAAAAACCATCGATCCTACCGAGATTTTGCTTTCACGATGCATTAGAGCAGCTGAAAACTAATTTTCATACAAATTTTCGTTTCAAAAGGGTTCTTGGTTTTGTGATAGAGTACGCTTGAATTGCTAAGCTTTTGCGTGACGCGGCATTTACATGATGGCCAAGAGAGCTGTCATGTAGGTTAAAGAATGACTTATTTCAGGAAATTTGCTATCTAAACAGTTCATGTATTAGAAAAAGTATTACTTTAATGTTTATGAGTTTCTCGAATAATAAATTCACGCTTTTGTAGCAAAACTCGGTAACAGATGTTTCTGTTGGTTTCCGTCCGCCATGTTGGAGCTCTCCCAGGCGAGCACCAGCATGGCGTTTCCATACAAATCTCTATAAGTTTGCGTAAAACATTTCTTCGGATATCTCGTATACGAAATATTCCTCTGACCTGAATCTTGGCGAGGGTCTTTGTATATGTACCTCCTTTCATTTCCCAGATTCTAGACTTTATCTATTGAACGGTTTTGATTTTGATTTTGATCTATTTTGAATGGCGTTAAAAAGTAATAAGTAAATAATATAATGATAGTAAAAATAATAATTAATACAGTAAAATAAAGTGAAATCTCAAAAAGTAAAACAGTAATAATGATAATAATAATGATGATGATATTATTGATAATTACAAGAGTACTGATAATGAGAACTGAATAATGAAAGAGGATCGATATAGATTGTGCAAAATGTTCCCTAAAATAATGTTATAAGAGAGTTATAGAATCCCAGGGGCCCCACTCACATATTTTAATGACGGGGGGGTCCGACAGAGGTTCATATTTTATACCCAAAAAAATCCCAACTTCAGAATTTGTCTACCCAAAAAAATCCCTACTTTTTTTAGCATACCCAAAAAAATCCCTCAGTGTTTTTGCATCAGCAAATTTTATTATTTATCTTCTGGAAAGCTAAAACATGCCAACTTCAACTTTGGTTTTGGTCAAAAACAAAACTATAAATTGCGCTTATGTTATTTTTGATTTGAGCTGATGAAAAATACAATACCCAAAAAAATCCCTCTGTAGTTTTCGCGACCCAAAAAAATCCCGGCGTCTTTCACAGACCCTAAAAAATCCCTTTTGGCCAAAATGTCAGACCCAAAAAAATCCTTCGGACCCCCCGTCATTAAAATATGTGAGTGGGGCCCCTGGGTATAGAATTAATTACCCTGAGATCAGGCTCTATTTTCGTTTCGCTTGGAAAATTACATTCCGGTGGGCAAGGCGAAACGAAATGAGAGCCTGATACAAACCTTTAACGAAATGGCTGCCGCCCACTTTTTTGATTGATTGACATTTGCCGAATCAGCCAATCAGAATTACTTCCGTTGCTTGTTTTTCTAGTATGCAAATTTTTCACGCGTGGGAAAAATACAGACTGGCTGACTTAAAAAATAGCGTTTATCTGTTACTTTTTTCAGCTAAAAATAAAACAGTCATCAGCACAATCACATTTAATTTCTTGCGAGATTAAGAGAGATCTCGAAGGTTACTTCTGTTGGCGTAGAAGGTAAAAAGTTTTTGAAAAGACGGCGACACGATGTTCTACTAGTTTTATTATTTTGGCTAGGCGCTCTGGAATTTAAAATACTGAAATCTCTATTTTTCCGTTGTCTTGATATTTCCCTCGGCAATTTCCCCCGATTTTCAGTACATAAATCTTTAAAAACAAAAGCAAACAGCCAACGAGCAAGGACACCAGTTTTCTTGGTTTATTTTTAACAAAAAGCGTAGTCAAACAACCAGTCTGTGAACACTAAAAATTCCTTGAACAGCGATGCAATATTTTTCGTATAATACTTCACAGTTGCACTGTAATTTTCAGGGAGTTATAATAACTCCTCTAGTGGGGCTAATTTAACTCCTTACAGTGGAGTTATTTTTCGTGGAGTTATTTTAACTCCAAAAAGGAGTTTAAAGAACTCTTTTTCAGGAGTAAAAGTGACCACAGATTTTGAGGAGTTAAAATAACCCCAAAAAAGGAGTTATCCTGTACCTAAAATTTTTACTCCACTTTCAGAGTTAAATTAACTCCAAAAAGAGTGAAAACAACCCCTGTAAGGAGTACAAGTAACCCCATTTCGGAGTAATTTTAACTCCAAGACTGGGAGTAAAAAGAACTCTTTTTCAGGAGTAAAAATGACCCCAAATTCGGAGTTAAATTAGGAGTTAAAATAACCCCAAAAAAGGAGTTATCCTGTACCTAAAATTTTTACTCCATTTTTGGAGTTATAATAACTCCCTAAAAATTACGGTGTGGCGATTGAGGTTTCTTTCGCAGTGAGCCTCCACTTGCGTACCCCGTTCAGAGAAGTCATTCCCGGCTAAACTTTCAAATGAAACCAGTTTTAAGATGGACAGTATTTTGATTTGCACCCGCTTGTTGGTAAATCAAAATGCACCTTGTTAGCGGTCAACAACTTGCAGAGGGATTCAACTCCGCGATACACTCACTTTCCGTACATAAAGCAAATCCTGAGAAGATATGAACAACCACATGAATTTTCTGAATTTCCATGGCACATATTAAGGCATATTTTCCTACCATAAGACCATAAAACAATAAAAAAGACAGCAAAATCGATCCTTCTCTCCACCGACGACTGATCATTAACGAAAACAACCAAGCGAGGAATAAGCGCTTCCAACTTCCGGCGTTTCCCACAGCCAATCAGATCTTGTGGCATTGTTCTAACAGCCAATCAGCGTTACGGCCAAAATCTGGCCGTAACGAGCACATTAACGAGCATAATAACGAGCATCAACTTGTAATAGTTTGTATCAGGCCCAATTTCAGCGGTAGCCGTTAGAGAGAATGTATGAGAACCGCTCAAATTGGGCCTGATCTCAGGTTAAGAATTAATGGTTAAAAAACGAACATGTTTTGATGTTCAACTATCATCATTATCAAGTCAAAGAAAAAGAGTTGTTTGGAAAAAATAATAATTACTTAAACAATAATTCATAACTAGACTGAACTTACAGACGTATGTAAGTGTCAAAAATAACTGATCAAACAAAGAGCATGGCATGGATGGAATTATCAGCTTGGGAGTTCAAGATTGGTTTGAGTTCTGAACTCAATGAAAGTAAATTATTGTAAAACTGCCCATTTTTTAATTCCCCGGTACATCTTGTTGTGCATTAACTCTTTGACTTTTGATTTTGCCTGTTGTACAGAGTTTGCAGAATTTCTTCACTGCAGGGGAAAGAAATTTACTGATTTTGAAGAAGTAAGGAAAGAGATTGTGGCAGAAACTGAAAGAGAAACTGGCAGCAATAAAGGAATTTCATGTCTACCAATTAATCTTCGGGTTTTCTCTCCTCACGGTAGGAAAATTAGCGATCTTTGTTTTAACAGGGTCAGGGTATGAGGGGCCGGGCCACACCTCCCCGCCCAAGGATACACCTTACTTTTTAGAGTTTCAAAGCACTGGGCACCCTTCAATTTTCCTTAGAACACAGCCTTGGTGTGACAAACATCCTGCATACTGCTAGGATTAGATGTCAAAGATACATGTACATGCATGTATGTGCTTTTGCACAATGATAGAATGCCACTCTGATCACTAGGAAACAGGGTTTAAAATGATTATCTCCATCTTTGTTTAGTCTGGGGTCAGAATCAGAAACGCACACTTTATAAAGTCAAATATTTGCATACAACAAAAGTTGGCCATTCTTTTAAGAAAATGTTCAAGGTTTGACTTCCAATCTATGGACTGCTACACAGACCATACATGCTAAAAAAAGGTGACTTCCTTTCATACAAAAATTAAATTAAAATATTTTTAATATTTATTCATGAAAGAAAAAAAATTGTTTTTAACATTGTATATTAGCCGATCCCTATGGAAGCCAGTCTTCTTTTAATAATTTAGTGACACAAACTTGAGCCAGGTTTCATTTTAAAATATTATTGCGATGCTTTTTTTGGAGTTTAGCACCAGTAGTAGAAAACTGTCTGAAAACTGGAATATACTTAGGGGGTGTTACATGACACCGGGGCGACTTTCGCACTGGCGCGAGCTCACTCCGGTTCCCTCTCATAGCTCTATATTCGTTTACATGATCCCACCACAAAATGTCATGCCGGCGCTAGTCACCCTGTCGTGAGTTCGCTCCGGTTGTTGTACCAGGACGAGAATTTCACGCCAGCATGAAATCTCGCAACGGTATCATGTAAACGCAAAACGACCACTTGTTTCGGTGTGAAACCGGACTGCCTGTGGACTGTAACGCGTAGCGCATGCGTAATGGTTGCGATTTTGAATCACATGGGTATTTTATCAACATGAAGTCTACCTCCAAATAACAAGAAATAAAATGGCCCAGTCAACATGTAAACTGGATACAAAATCATCGCCGTATGAAACTCCCAAAGTCATCGCCGTATGAAACTCCCACCGGTGCGAGTTTCATATTTTCTTTATATTTTTTAGTGCTGAATTTGACTCTGGTGGATCTTCCTGGTATGACAAAAGTTCCTGTTGGTGATCAGCCAGCAGATATAGAAATGCTGATTAGAAGCATGTTGATGCAGTTTATCACCAAACCAAACTGCCTTATACTGGCAGTGTCACCTGCAAACTCAGATTTAGCTAACTCTGATGCACTGAAGATTGCAAAGGAGGTAGATCCTGAGGGTAAGTTTTTTAATGCACTCTTTGTACTTGGCCAGCTTTTTGGAGGTGTGTAAAATAATATTGCTCAAGAAAATGATGCAGAAGAATATAAAATTTGAACTAAGAAATTAATCACTTGTCACTTGTATGTATTTTATTCATTTTTTTCACTGGCCCTGGTCTCTACTGCACTTACTAATTGTGTACAGGAATAAGTACCCAAAAGGACTGAACATTGATTAAATTTGTCTTTCAATGATTCAGGTGTACGAACAATTGGAGTAATAACCAAGTTGGACCTCATGGATGACGGAACAGATGCACGAGACATTCTAGAAAACCGAGTCCTTCCTTTAAGAAGAGGTCAGACAGTATTATTTTATTTTACCGTTGTATGAATTCACTGTAGTTGAAAAGTAATACTGCTTAAAGTGACTATGATAACAGGCTACACTAAAATCCAAGTCTTTTACTGTTCTTCTGGTCTCTGGGAAAACAAAGATATTTCACTCAAACATCAAAGTGAGTTAATTGCCAGAGGTCACTTGGCAGTGCTGAAGCATACCCTGTTATCGGCAGGTTGTTTATTTTTGGGCCTATTCATCCCATATTTTTCATCAATGACACTTTCCAATGTGTCCAGTGCCTCCCAGGGACATTGAAGGGACATGCTGTAGCCAAGTCAAATTATTGTTTTGCTTGCCAATGATTGCAGCAGCTGGAGGAAACTTGTGGTCAAGCCTGCTTGATGTTAATGATTATGATGATGATGATGATGATGATGATGGAAGCAATAGTATATCTTTGGTTCCTTTTCAGGGCTCGAAATTAAAAAAATCCCCAAGTCGCCTTTTGGCGACCAGCTGGAGAAACATAGTCTCCAGATGCAAATTTTTAGTCGCCAGTTTGTATAATGTAAATGACGCAGCTCATAGTATGAGCTAGGCTTCTGATATTTAGCGCGGATTTGCGAAATTCAGGTGAATACGCGAAATCCCGCGAAAGCCATGCAAAATACCGCGAGATTCGCTAGAAAACTTAACAAATACATATCGATACAGCATATTTGAAACTTATCTCGGCTATTGGGACTGTTTAATTGCCGTAAACTTGCAAATTTATCTTGAAACTCCATTACCACAACGAGCGAACAACGTCCTAAAACTCCCAGGCGTAAATTATGTTTGCGAAAAACTGCGCTCTAGTCATGATGTTAAAAGCTTTGCCATTAGCGCTTTATTGTTAAACAACAAGGCGCTTACAGCAGTCTCTTTCTACACGAAACAGGTTTTACTTGCTAAAGGTTTTTTACTTCCTACTTTATCGACGTCAATACTTTTTACTTGTTTCTGAATTGATTTAGTACGCGTGATGGCGACGACCGGAAATACGTCTGCGGTCGCAGGCTATAGGCGTGTGTAAATCCACGAAAATTCAAGGGCCTCAATTCCAGAGAAATTACATCATTGCCAGAGATCAAACAAATGATTTACACGGCACGTCATTTCAATCGTCGCCGAAAATAAAATCGCATCTCATCACAAGACCCTAATGCATAAAATGAAAGTTTACAAAACGCAACCATCGCAGTTTTGCTAATTAAGATTGTTTTTTCGACCACTCAGTAGTGTTCACTTGTTCCAAAGTAATCGACGATTTCAAGCGATAGAATTCGTGAACCGACACGTTTCGGAAAAGTTTTAAATTTAATCTTTCCTAAGCTTTCTTCGCAAAACATGCGTGGCTTCGACCACGCAACGATTCTTAGTCCCAGTTTCCACGGACTCTGCAAGTAACTCCTGGCACAATGACCCCCAATTTGTATTTTAAATACGACGAAAACCTCCGGGGGGTACTTCCAGAAAAACCGGGTCGGGTTGTGCGGCACTCTTCCTGAAACCCTTACCCTATTTCAGACCAAAATCTGTGATTTTCCCTATATCCAACCGTATTTCAGACCTGAAGCCCTGGAGCCCGGCGCGTGACAAGCTGTTACGGCACGTATACGATTGATGCAAACATTAAAAGAGAAATGGTCTTATCGCCAAATGATGAAGAACTAGCTTCTTCTAAAAAAATATACCCAATTCAAGACTAGAGTGCACAAACCATACCCTTTTTCAGACCACAATGGTCGAAATTGATACCCTTTTTCAGACAAAAACGGCTAAAAAACCATACCCTTTGGCGGGGCACATACCTATATAGCCAATATAAGGAAGAACCCCCGGGGGGAAGGCGTTGCAGATTATGAATCTCGCTGCTTACGCAAAATAAGAAAATGGCATCACAACTCAGATGATAGCACTGACATCATTTTTAGACTAATATTATCGGTTCTCTTCTTCAGTTTGATATCAAGTTGTGTAAGTCATCATCCGCTATGGCATTTATTTTTTGCTTCCCAGTTTCAATGCAATTATCTGTTTTCACTTTTAAAGTTTGGATTTGTTGGTGTATATCAGTATTCTTCTCTAAACACCTTATTGAGCTATCTCCAATATTGAGCATTACAGTTGGACAGATTGTGAAAACTAAAGTCCGGGTAAATTTGAAGTATAATAAAATCATCGTAGATTATTTTTTATCGTGTACACTAATACTACTGGGCAAGGAAGAATAAGTATGTGAAAAAATATAATTCACTGCCCTTGAAAAACTAACAAAGAGGTCGCAAGAACACAAATAAGTAGCCCAGCAATATTTTTGTTTGATAATAACAGCTTTTTGTAATGAAATGGTCACTGAAAACTACCCATGCAAGACATACTAAGGAACATAAAAGAAACTAAATATTCACTAGTCTTACATTGAAACCAGACATTGCTATATCTATATCTTACAGATACAACCTAAAACATTTGTATAACATACAAATTCAAAAGTATTTGCAAACAAGAAAATTATACAGAATTATGCACAAATGAAATACAAATGGCCAGTAACAGCTATTAAACCATTGAAAAACAAACTTTTTAGTGTGACCAGCAACCCTAGCACACTTGTGTACTTCATGTCCAGTATGATTCAATTTCATTCTTGGTTAAATTTATTAACTGCAGCCAGGCTTAATCAAACTTGATTCAAAAAATACTTTGCTGTTTCCTTGTCTACAATGTATAATATTAAGAGAGAGGATATAATGCTAGAAGCTAGAAATATTATACGGTAGTACTATCAAAAGATAAGGCACCTCAAGGAAATCGAGTTGGTCCCTACTATTCTTCAGTCATTTTCTTTCACTCTCTAAAAGAGTTACACCTGTCCATTAATGCAGACATTTTGTGCCAGTCCCAAAAGTTTCCATCTGAGAGCTGACTGTAGTTTGTGCGACACCACACTTAAGCCTCTGACGACAAAAATACAATGTTACACAGCCTTAATTTATTCTACTTGCAATCAAATTAAGACCTCTTCATGTTCTTCTTGATATTCACGGTATTATGAACTCGTTTATCTTTCAGTGTGTGTTCTAGTAGTCTTTTCAGGCCGGGCACTCACTGTTGTCCTGCAAAAAATTATAATAACAAACACATTCTATGATTCAATTTTACAGTGGAATCTTTGTGGGAACTTGAAAGCAAATTTCTGCATAGACTTCATCCTGTTTCTGTGTAATACAACCTTTAGATTTATACCGCAGTGAAGCAGAATTTGTTGTTGTTTATGTAGACTGCCACATGCACCACATCATTCGAATGTAATTTTTTAGTAGTTCTCTAATTTTTTTCTAATTCTAATTTTTTTTAGTTACAGAACCGCGATCGGATCGCGGTTCTGTAACTAAAAAAAATTATTTACCATCTTAGTGTATATTAAAAAAAAGGGAAAATTGCTAAATTGGGCAACTGAAATCTTTTATTTTACTAACAAGCTAAACGCCAACGTACAAAACAAAAACCTTGCTATCGCCACTATGAAGTCGTCACTTCTAAAAATTTACATGTACAAACAAAATTTATAAAACCATTACATATTTTTTTTGCAGCCGTTTATTATCATTTGGGTTTGACTGGCAAGATAAAACGCGACCTTCAACCTGTAATATTCGATTGGCCATTTTCACACTACATAAACATAAAGGGCGCAAAAACACCTCAACTTATACGAGTATCTATAAAATATCACCTAAATATTTTCTGTATATCACATAGAAATACGCCAAATATCAAATCTAATTATAGATTGCAGCGATCTAAAGATATAAAGCAATAAATCCGAACCTACCTCCAGCTAGACGGCGCCATTTTTCTTGCCCTGACAGTGGATCGAGAGCGGAAAGGCCAACTAGTTCCAGTCCTACTCCGCATCACAGCTGAACCAGAGAGCGCGTATGAGCGTTTCGAAGCCCTAGCTTCTTACCCCCTGATGGTTTACGAAATAGCCTGCGTAGCAAGCGTTTCCGTTTGGTGTCTTAGCAAAAAAAGACCGTGGAAAGGGATTTTCGGTATTGACCGCGCGAGAAATGAAACGAGAACCAAAAAAGGAAAGAGGGGGGAGGGGAAGGGGAAGGAAAGAAACCTACCTTTCTTCCCCAACCCCTCCCCGCTCTTTTACTTGCGCCATTTTTCGCTCGGTCTTTGACTCTTGTTCCTCATTCTTTGCTCCTAAACAGCACAGAAACGCTTGCTGCGCAGGCTATGTACGAAATATCAAATTGTTCGTTACAAGTATCCAGCATCATTATAGTCAAACCAGGTCAAGCGTTCCCGTCGCTAACGAACTAATGAATTCATGAACGGAAAAATGATTTCGTTTGTTGATTCAATAATCCATTTATAAAATGAACAATCCAATATTCATATTTAGACTCGATTCCATAATCGAATGTTGATCCGATTACTGTTTTTTGAAAAACTACACTTTCCACAAGTCGACCTCAGAATTTTGTTTTTTCTTCTTTTTTTCTAAGAGTCGAGTACGGGCGAGTCTGAAGTTCAAACCCAAACAAACTGTTACATGTATGCCATTTTACTTCCAGTAATTAGTGCAACTGACCTGACCTCTTAGAAACTGAGGTCAGTGTATGTGCGGTGCTTGGTGGATTTCGATCCCCGGCCTTTGTCAGTTTCTTTGCGTTTGCGGTCTGTCTATTCAAGCTGTTATTTTGATTAAAGGCAATTAAAAACGCAATCGTTAACGGCAGGAAAAGGGAAGCAAATACGACTGAACACAACAGACAAGAATAAAGAAGAGGTAGATTTTGTTCATAAACCAAATCAACATTTAATTATTGAATCGAGGTCCAATTTGACCGTTGGATTATTCATTTTATGAATGGATTATTGAATCAACAAACGAAATCATTTTTCCATTAATGAATTCATTAGTTTGCTAGCGACGGGAACGCTTGACCTGGTTTGACTGTAAAAAAGGAAAAGAATCAGGCTGTTGAACAGGAGAGTGAAATTTATGACGATTTGCTTGTTGTTTTTGATCGCATCATTGAAGTTCTGCTTCCTTTTTTCAACATTTGATGTATTCACTTCTTTCAAAGTTATCTACGCTTTCAAACTACAGAATTCGTGGAACGACTCATTCCGAAAACGTTCGACATATTTCAGTGTGGGTCTACAACGAATGGTGTGAGGATTTGTAAGCGACATCACCGTATAATCCATCAATCTTTCCGAATTTTTCTTCTCAAAACATAACATTCTGACAATTATACGTTGTTTTTCGAAGCGTGATGAGAAGCGTGATGAGTAAATCTTACTTTTGCCGCTCTGAGTCTAACATTTATTAGAGGTCATGAAGGTTTCAAGTTCTCAAAGTTTCATGCAGACCGCGTAGTTGTCGGGTTACCCTGCAGTCAAGCTCAACTTTCCAGAATTTGGAAAGTACAACGTGATTGGCTAAGCGTTGGAAAGGAATGTTGTCTTCGGTTGAGCAGGCGTTTGTGGGGAGGGACGAAATACGAGCTTCCGTAAAAACGCCTGCATGGGAGGCTATCTAGAGAGAGCACGAGCATTTCTTACTTTTTGTTATGTCTGTTTTGCACTTGCGATTTTATCGGCTTGCGGTGTCATGTGAGCATGAAACGTAACCTGTTTTGTCGAAAAAGATAAAGTGTGATTTCTTGCATGGAAGAAAAAATTTTGTTATAGCTCTAAAACGTGATAAACGTTGCGCGTTATTCCAGTCATCGCCGAAAATAAACCGCATGCTCATCACGAGATTCATTTGCGTACAATAAAAGTCGTCACGATTCTTATCCCCAGTTTCCACGTTCTCCGCTAGGAACGCGTGGCCTACAAACTAGGTCCCACCGACAAAAAAAAAGAAACGCCTGCATTTTTAGAGTCTCGCTCTGCTAAAGCAAGCTCGACTAAATAGCAAATGATTATCTCTGTTAAAAAACATTAAACACGCTCGTCAAATCAGCTTAAAATCGATCGTTTTCTAGCGAGATTTGTTCTGAAAATTTCCATGAAACTGGCCTTTTGTTACCGATTGTTTTTCGGCAACTTAGCCCCACAGACGTTCGTCACGCGTTCCTGCCCCAAGAAAAAACTACTCAGTTAACTCACAAGCGTTTGTACTAGCGGCTACCCTCACAATCCCATTGAAAAAAAAATTACCTCGGAGGTTAAATTTGCTGAACGGAAGTCGGCTTTACTACAAAACAATAACGTGTCAAAAAAAATTCTGCCTTTTGTTCAGTCTTGCAAGGTAAGCCCGCCGTTGCATCACCCAAAGAGCAACTTTATGAGCAAATGACATCTAATCCAGCCTTTACAGAGAGAAATATACAAAAAACCCAACGCTTATCTCCTAGATTCTTGTCCGGAGCAAAAATCTTTGGTCACGTATCACACTCTACGGAGCTTGTACGTATGTGTTTGGCTTGTCAACACTTTGAATTCAACAGCGCCTACTGGATCTCCGACAATCTGCATGTGATCACTAGCTGATATTTGCGAACAATGGGAAAGAAATTTATCCTTAGGTTCAGCAGACGTTCGAGGGGCAGGAACGCGTTTTGAACCCCTAAGAACGTCTGCGTGGGAGGTTACCAAAGTGACTAAACCAGAATTTTTTGTCGCCAAGGAGAAAATATTAGTCGCATTGGCGACAGTTTTAGTCGCAATTTCGAGCCCTGTTTGCCATAATCAAAAGTGGGCTGTCATTAAGATGTGGGGGACGGGGATTTCCCCTGGGTACTTTCATAGGAAAAGAGTAGAAAAATAGAACCAAAAGAAATCCCTAGCTGTTTGATTCGCCCCTACTTGTTGATTTTACCCGGAAACTTGAAATCTTAGTGACAACCCTAGTTAAGAATGTTGACTTTGTTATTTTTTGCAGGCTACATTGGAGTGGTAAACCGAAGTCAAGCTGACATTGATGGAAGAAAAGATATCAGATCGGCTTTAGCTTCTGAACGTAAATTCTTCCTCAGTCATCCTTCATACAGGTTAGAGCCTGAATTGAAATCAAAGTTCCAGAAAAGTTTATGGCTATTGGTTTGCATAACTGACTTATCCCGTTGGTACTGATTCTTTTGGTAGATACACTGTAGGGCTATCCAACTTTTGAGCAACTTAGGTCTGAGGCCTATTAGTAACACTATGGTTGTTTGTGATTGATGTGTTATGAATCTCACTCATGGCTGGTGGGTCTTAATCCAAAGTTGGATGATGGATGTTGTTTTGCCTGATCCACGCTTCAGGAATCTCAATTCCACTTCCATCTCTATCAATGTTTACTAGGGTGAGGTCTTATGTGAATTAAGCCTCAGTGTCTAAGTTTTTTTTTTCTCAGAGATACACGTAGGGATTTATTTCCTATAGGTCTATGTGGTTTCATAGTAGTGTTCTTGTCCTCACTCGCTGCATTTTTAGGATCTGAAATTGGCATTCTGTGCTTGCTAAATTGCAGCAAATCCCAAATACATTGAACAAAGGGATTGATAGACTAATATGGTCTGTTGTTTGTCAAGTATATGTTACAGGTCAGAATTTAATTCAGGTTAATTTTTTTTTTAACTTAGGTTGATTCTCAGTTTCGTTTGTCCTCTGCCCTGATTATTCATGAATTAGGGCTCGGAGACAAAAGAATTTGAGAATCAACCTAGGTAAAAAAATTTCAATCTGAATTTGATTTTTACCTGGAACAAGGACATGTACAGTGTATATGTTGTAAATTTTCTCTTCCTCATTGTCGGTAATCATTTCAGGCATTTTGCAGACAAAATGGGGACTTCTTATTTACAAAAGATCCTTAACCAGGTAAGATGCAAGATAAAATAACTCCCCACTGCTTAGGTGCACATGACTGGGTTACCAGACTTTGTTAATATGATTGTAGAGTGGCTTACATGTATGTGATCCGGGCTCAATCTTTGAACTGAGCTTGTACAAGCAGCTCTTGCATTTTGCTTGGCAAGGACCGTTGAATGCATGTCTTGGAGCGTTTATCATTTGTCAGAACTGGCTGGCCAGACCAGTCCAGTCATTTAAAGAATTCCACTGTTATGACTATCTAGCCTGCAGATTAGTTTAATATCCTAAAATTAGTGTCACATGTATGCACAGCAGTGATGGTTTTAGTTAAAATTTCGAGAAGAGACTAATATTTCATCTTCAAAATGACCAGTCCGGCCAGCCAGTTTTGGCTTCGAAAGCGCCCTAATAGTTACAGATCTAATTTCAAGGTGACATTCGTAGACCCTTATTACCCATTGGAAAAGTGAGCAACATGTAAAAGTTGGATGCCCAGCGGGAAAATCTACATTGTACTTGCCCCTTGCTACTGGATGGGACCTTTTTTTGGGGCCTTGATTGTAAGAAGCCCCTGGATGCCTAAGGCATCCATCATGAGCCACTATTTTGTTGTGCATTTTTCAGCAATTGACTAATCACATCAGAGAAACATTGCCAGCTCTCCGAAGCAGATTAGAAGAGAACATCATGGCACTTGAGAAGGAGGTTAAAGGATTTGAACACTACAACCCTGATGACCCATCCATGAAGACCAAAGCCTTGATGCAGTGAGTGGCATGCAAGAGTTCTTAATTAACAAATGAAATGACCTTAGATAATGCAATTGGTTTGCCTTATACTTATCCACTGGATAGAGATTTATCCGATGGATACCATTGTCCAGCTTTTAAACAACTGGCACCAAAGTGTATTTAGATTTTCCTTCCAACCTGATTGGCAAATTGACAATTAATTTTTTCAACGGGCCAATCATGGTCTGACTTGAATCTTGGCCCACAGGTGGGGGCCCAGAACAAGGATTTTGGTGCTGTTTTGCAGATGGACTTTAACAAGAGTTTAGTTTCGTCTTTGGTGCAGGCTCAATTTTTTTCTTGTGTGGTAAATTGGTCTTGTGGGAAAAAGGAAAAAATTAATGACATGTGGAGCTGCTCACAAGTCTTTGACTAAATTGTTTTGTACCAAAGCAGCCATCAACTTGAAAATTACTATTCCTTGCACACTTCCTGAGTACAGATGTACAGCTGTATGTGAATTTTCCCTGACCACGGTTAGAAACCATCTTGGATACGAGCAACTGACGAATGAATATAGCAAGCACAAATTTAATAATATTTATGTTTTCTTGAAAGAGTTAAGGTGCTACGTCCAGTTCCAATGTTTTCCTATTGTGTAGACTAAAACCTCCTATTTTTCCTATTTTTTAGCTGGTGAAGCCAAAATTTGTAGCAAAATTGAAAATGGAATTATATTATAAAAGTGATTTAAATCCTGTGAACGTAGAAGCTGAGGACTCATAGCCTTTATTAGGCCCTGATGGGGTGAAGGGAGGCTATCTTCGTCGACAAAAGTACTATTGATTTTCCTATTTTTATCCTATTTTTTAATACAAAGTTTCCTATTTTTGCTAGTTTCTCAATCCTGAGTTTCCTATTTTTCTATTTTTTTTTGAGTAACCATGCTGCTGGACACCCCTGTTACCCTCATCTGAAACAACTCCCATTACACCCCATTCTAATCCATACAATGTATATCATTTTTCTTTTTGTACTTGGGGAATTTTACGTTAATTATTTTATTTTTTTTATTTTTTTTTATTTTTTTTTTTTTTTATTTGCCACAATAATTAAAAAAAAAAAAAAAAAAGAAAAAAAGAAAAAAAAAAAAAAAGAAGTGGCGAGGAGACCTAACAGAAACTATAGGAGCTTATGAGAGGTTAGGCCTCCTCGAACTATGAGCTAGAGCTGTTTCACATCAATTGAAGAGAAGAAGGCGAAAAGTCGAAGATGGAAAGATTTATAAACTGTTTTCATACTTACTCAATAATTTAATCTTCAGTTTTTTTTAAAAAAAGGAGAGGGATTGAGAGTTGATGATCTTGTTGTCAAGTGAATTAAAAACTTAGGCCCTTGAAAAAGGGCGAGAACTTCTTCGTGTTTGTACGACAATACGGTAGACGGTAGGCCTGGGAATTTCTTATATTGTAAGAGTGGAATTGATTGCTTTGAGAGAAATTGTTATTAAACTTTGGAGGTAAGAATGAATTTTTGCAAGAATACATAAATTGGCCCAGTTGAAGCAAATGGATATCATTAAATTTTAGTATACCGAGGTCCTTAAAGATGGGGTCAGTATGAGCATTAAAATGTGATTTATTAATAATTCTAATAATGCGCTTTTGCAGGATAACAAGGCGGCGGAGATTAGTTTTATAGGTCGAAGCCCAAACGATATTGCAGTAGTAAAAATAAGGATAAATTAAGGAATAGTAGAGCATACGTAAAGACGATTTAGGAAGAAAGAAGCTGCATCTAGATATTATACCGATTGACTTCGCAACTTTACTTGCAACGTGAGATATTTCCGACTTCCAATTTAGGTTTTCATCCAAAATTACGCCTAGAAAATTTGTCTCCTTTACTTTAACAATATTTTGATTATCTATACTTATTTGAATATTACAAATTGAACGCTTTTGTCTTGGTTTGAAGACCATAAATTTAGTCTTTTTAAGATTTAGAGAAAGCTTGTTTGCTTTAAACCAGATTGACAGTTTGTCCATCTCCAAGTTTAACATATCTGAGAGATAGTTCAGATCTTTATGTGACATGAATACATTGGTATCGTCAGCGAACAATATCAGATTTAATAGATTATTAATATTATTATTATTATAGGATGATTCAACAGTTCAATAATGATTTTGAGAAAGCTATTGAGGGATCTGGAGATCAAATTGATACAAAGGAACTTTCAGGTGGAGCCAAGATAAACAGAATATTTCACGAGCGATTTCCATACGAGTTAGTCAAGGTAAAATGGCTGTTAGTAAAATATTTATGTAATGTAACTTAGAAGTCAATATAAGAAGTTCCAAAAGGATTCTTAAAAGTAAAATAGATAATAATGTGAAGGGGAAGATCCAGGTATTTTTGATTGGGGGCTCAAACTTTGGTTCAGAAAGGACTGTTGAACTTTTATGTGGCAAATTACTTCTCACAGAGACGGCCACGTGTTTTTATCTAATCTGTGAATGCCTCCCCGTTGGCGTGGGAAATACTGCTTTGCGAGCAGAGCCAAACAGATAATAGGAGGGTACCCAAAAACAATTACATTTTTGACATCCCCGGAATTTACTGTAGTGGCAAAATGTAAGGCGCGTTTCATTAAAAAAATAAGCCAGTTAAAAAGTGATATACAATCCGGTCGATGTAAGAATTTCAGTCTCAAACAACTGTCAGGTATGATAGGGAATTCGCCCCCCCCCCCCCCCCCCCCCCCCCCTTGCCCTCCCCCTGTTGTTTTCGAACGGTAGCCGTTCATATACCGTTCATAAAGCGTTCGAACGGAATAGCTATCCGTTCGAACAGCTCGAGCTTTCCTCATTAAAATAAGAAAAATATTGTAATACAGTGTATGTATAGTGAAATACCCTCGAATCCTTTTTTACAATAACTGAGCGATTCCTCTTAGGCGGATTGGTGGAGAGTTTTGGTCGATGAGAAATGACGTGATGGTGGTGCAATTTGTTTTTCTCTTTCTTTTCTAGAAACTCTAACAGAAATAGAAGTAAAAAACGGGCAATGTCTTTGTAAAAAACAAATTGGCAACAATTTTTCATGGTCTATGCTCTTATCGACCATAGAAATGTCGTCAAAATGTTCAAAACTCTTTGGCTCGTGGTTTCACTTGAATTTTGAACATTTTGACCTAATTTCTTTGGCCGATAAGAGTATAAGAAGAAAAAATGAAAGGTTTATTGGTTTATAACACGACGTTTCGGGGTCCTCATCTGACTCAAATGCAAGAGATGAGAAGAAGCAATTTACATACTTTACATATTATTTGTTCGATTGTGATATTATTCACTTGATAATGGAGTCAAAGGGTCCCGAAATGTCGAGTTATAAATCTTTCATTTTAACTTGTTAGTTGCTTGTTTTAACAAAACCCTGCTTATAAAATGATAAGGCCATGGAAAAATTATTCAGTTGTCGATTTGTCTACGTGACACGCACATCACTTCCTATTTTTTGTACAAAGTGTGTACCGCTCGTGTCTGTTGCTCCCGGGCTGTTGCTTCATGCTTGTGCCCCTAAACCAACCTGAATACTCCATAATAATACTGTACCCGTTGTGCAGTCTACTGCTAGTCTGTGAGAACTAACACGTATACTGTTTCGTCAAATGAAATCTTAGGTTGAGTTTGATGAAAAGCAGCTAAGAAAGGAGATAATGTTTGCTATAAAGAATATTCGTGGTATCAGGTTAGTAAGCTACTGTTTTTGGAAACATAGTTGATAAACACGACAAGAACGCTCCACTTTTTACTTTCGTATTCCACTTTGGGTTGATTAGCTAATTTTATTTCTTCCCGCCTTGTTCAAGTTCATTTGTTTTTTGTTCTTCAGTAATCTCATTAGTTGATTTTTATCCCCCAAATTGTCTCAAAAATAAAATGCGTTCACGTGATCAAGACGATCACTTCTTGTGCAAAGTGTTGTGCGTTAGCAAGCGTTTCTGATCGAGTTATAACAACAACAACAACAACAACAAATTTTACTAAAAATTGGAAATATAACGAATTACATTACTTTCCCACCCGCAAATAGCTTATAAACTAATCGATGCGGGGGGAGCTGAAGGCATATTACAAGTATAAGGTTTATATATAGATGGACTAAATGACAGTGAAGACACTGACTATACAGTAAATGGAATAAACTAACATAAAAGAAGGCAAGTTATTGGAAGAAAGTTTCTCTCTTTTGCTCTCGTCTCAACTTTCTTGAGGAACGCACGCGGAAACGCTTACTATGCAGGCTAAGTGGGATGATGTAATGCCCTGGATGAAATTATAGAGCAATTTCACTAACGTGGCCAGAATCTATGCTAATTTATTGGAACAAAAGAAATCTTTTACATAAGAAAAGAGTTCAATTCCCACAGGGTTGTCTTGGTACACCAACATGGCCGCCGTTTCATTGTTTTCGAACACCAGTATAACCGACGTGACGTCATGTGAAAACACTCTATTGAGGTCCATCGGGTGAAGCAATGTTAGTCCTGGCAAATAGCCCATGTTTGATATAATAAAATTCCAACATGACTCCGAGGATTTCTGGTCATTTTTCTATATTTGGTTTGGTTTTCTTTGTGCTCAAGTCTCTTTTGGGAATTGCGAAACAATGGAGTCGTGAAAAATTTGCAATTTTGGCCCTAAAGCCAGTTAGAAGTTTAGTATATCGGACATGGGGTATTGCAATCGGGTGAAAAGAACTGGCCCCAGTTGTTCAAAAGGTGGATAAATCACTATCCAGTGGATAACGCAATTTCTTTCCCTAGTACTTATCCGATAGAGATTTATCCGGTGGATAACGCTATCCTGCTTTTGAACAACCAGGGCCAGATTTCAGATTCTATATATCCAAAAATTGTGGTGAAGAAGTTGCTCCAGACGCTTATCACGGAAACCAGGCTAAATAGAAAACTCGGATCACAGATTTGCCAATTTTTTATTAAATCCTGTTTTCTTTTTTGCTTTAGTAAAACTAGAGCTTTCGTTATTTGAACTGCATCCTTTCGACTCATTTGAATTCCTTTTTGAAACTTAACGATAATTTTGTCATTGTTTCATACGTTTTTTGTTCGTATGTGAATGCAGGGCTGGTCTGTTCACTCCTAACATGGCATTTGAAGCTATTGTCAAGCGACAGATTGATAAACTCAGAGCTCCTGCTGTGAAGTGCGTGGACTTGGTCATGTCTGAGTTGGTGAATGTTATCAAGAAATGTTCTTCCAACGTGAGTAAATTCCATTTTAATTTGTACTTTTGTTTTGGGGTACTGAGCAAATAAAACACTGTATAATTATATCTACAGGGCTGTGCCATCAACGGTTAACTAGTTCATTTTGTTTTCAATGCCAAGGTTATTTTCTTCCAACCAAGATGTAACAAAACAACTCATAGATTCGGTTTTTTTGATATCCGAAATAATCAAGGTCTCGGTAATGGTTGTCATCTTCGGCCTTCGGTTCGGCTGATCACCCTATATATCACAAAAACCTCGTCCAATAATGTTTTAGCAATAGTTATCAACACTCTTTTGGAATTGCAGATGGACAAATACCCACTGCTTAGGGACCAAGTAAAGAAAATCGTTGTGCAACATGGAAGAAAAGGAGAGGCTAAATCTAAAGACCAGGTACTGATGTACATGTAACCAAATGTTGTATACATAATCAGTTCTCTGTAGCTTTTATTCTTCACTCCATTAATGAATATTTCTTCACATGTTCATATTTTAGAATTCTGTACTCTGTTCTACACTTAAAGGATCCATCGACATCAATGCGCGTAAAACTTGATGATCTAAACTCAATCCACACACTTGTTCAGCTCAACATCTCCGAACGACTACACAGTTCTAACAAAAAGCTCAGTTTTCAGATCACGTGACGGGTTTTGCCGCCACAATGACGCAATAATTTCTAACACACTCCCCGCCTTGATTGACACGGGTCAATCAACAACGAAACGAATAAAATAACAAATTAAAGGAAAAGAGTTTGCTGTTCTTTGACTTAATGTTAATGTTCACTGACATGTTTCTGTTCGGCATTTCCCACGAAGGTAATAGGGAAATCAGTGTTTCTGTTCTGACGCTCTTCCCGCACTTGTGATTCGACTTCCACAGGGTAAAGCCTATTTAGGGGTCTTGTCATTTCCACGACTCGATCTCCACTACGCACTTTTACAACAGCTCCTCTGTGGTAACCATCTCGTCCTGTAATGAGAGATTTGACGACTCCCATACTCCAAAGTTGTCTCGGCGCTTTGTCCTTGTAGACGCAAACAACATCTCCGGCCTTAATCGTTGGCTTCCTGTTACTCGAATTGCAGTTGTGATGAACACGTAATTCTGTTAAGTATTCCTTCTGCCAACGTTTCCAAAAATGTGAAAGTACAGCATTCAAGTTCTTCTCACGTCTTGAAAGATCTCGCACAGTGTGATCTCCCCCACTTGGTTGTTTAGCCCTTCCGTTTGAACTCAACAAGCGACGACCAATAACCAGTTGCAACGGTGTAAGAGGATCTCGCACTTCATCACTCACATAAGTTAGAGGTCTTGAATTCAGGATTCCTTCGGTCTCGACAATGATTGTAAGCAGTTCTTCATAAGTGACTCGAGCTGTTCCTAAACTCTTTTTCAGACAGCGCTTTGTTGATTTAACGAGACGTTCAAAGAATCCACCCCACCAGGGTGCTAATGCCAAATTATATTTCCAGGATATGCTATACTCTGCTAACAACCTTTTGAGCTCTTCACTCTTGAAAGCGGAACCATTGTCCGATACAACAAGCCTTAGTACACCTCGTCGAGCAGTGAACCGTTTGAAGCTTCTCACAAACGCTTGAGTTGACATGTTCGGAACAAGGTCTAGATGAACCGCGCGACTAGATGCACACGTATATAACACAATGTATGCCTTGTTCATAACAATACTCTTGTTGTACACATCCTTGACAAAAATGGGACCCGCAAAGTCTACTCCTATACTTGAAAATGCGAAGTCGTCAGACAATCTGAATTCAGGTAGTTGAGGGGTAGGAGGCACTCCATAGGGGCGACCTGCAAGTTTCTTGCATACTACACACTTGCTTAATATCTTCTTAACTGTCTGTCTCCCTTTAACGACCCAGTATTTTGAACGCAGTTGAACCAGTGTCTCTGCTACTCCATTGTGCATGACTTGTTCATGGCACTTGAGGATCACCAATCTCGTAAAGCAATGTTCTCTAGGCAGAAGCACAGGAAATTTGGTATCATATGGTAACGACGACAGACCTATTCTTCCTTGACATCTGACTACACCTTCACTGTCCTGATAAAGTCCCAGAGTCGACTTCATTTGCTGGTACTTGTCACTGTTCAGGATACCCTTTTGAACGTGTTTAATCCACTTCTTCTCAGCTTGCTGGTAAACTTGCAAGGATTCTTCTTGGTCAGTTGATCCGTCCCTTCTTCTTTTCAATTTTTTGACAAATAGCCACACAAGTGAAGTAACTCTTATGAGCTTCGTGAGGGAACTGTAGGATTCAGGATTGATGATACTCTCCAGATTTGCTTCTTGTTTTTCCGTAAACGTGTTCAATAAGCTGGAGACTGTAGGCTTGGCTGATTTCAGTTCGCACAACTCTTCCTTGGCTTGTACATTTACAGGCTGGACTGGCCAGTAGGCGCTTTCCTTAGACAGGAATTCTAGACCATGTAACCACAAACTACTTTCTTTGAGTGCAGTGGCCTTAATTCCTCTTGATGCAATGTCAGCCGGGTTTTCTGACGTAGGACAGTACCTCCATTGCTCAGGCGGTGCATTTCGTCTGATTTCGCTCACGCGATTCTCCACAAATTGCTTGTATTCCTTATCAGTGTTCCTAATCCACCACAAGGAAATCATAGAATCCGTCCAATTGACTACGTCATCAACTCTCACAACGTTTTCTAAAGCTTGACTCGCACTCTTCACCAATCTTGACGCAGGAAGGTTAGACAACAGTTCTAGACGCGGTATGGTTTGCTTATCCTACGGAGCTACTCGGGTTTTTGACGCCACAATGTCACATTGTACTCTTGACTCATATTCTACTCTCATGTAAACAACGGCTCCGTACGCCTTTTCCGACGCATCTGCAAAACAATGAAGTTGGAGCGATTTAACTTCATTCCCACCGAGACCTTCAGCATAACACCTTTTAAAACTCACTCTTCCAGCTAGTCTTAGGTCTGACAAAGTTGACAACCACTCTTGGTTGAGTTCGGTATCCACTAACTCGTCCCAGTCCCTTCGTGCCTTGCACAGTTTTTGAAACATAATCTTGAAGGGTAGAATAACTGGAGATATTAACCCCAAGGGATCAAAGAATCTCGTAGCAGTACTGAGAATCAGTCTCCTTGTAACTGGCTGAACGTCCACACCCTCCAATATCTTAGTCAAGTCATAGATCAGTTCATCTTGGTTAGGGTTCCAAAGCATTCCCAAGACCTTCTGCAACATGCATTGTTGATGTTCCAACATCTCTGGATCTCTCCTGGGAAGTTTCAGATCTACTAAGTGATGCTAATTCAGCTCCTGAACTACTAGGTTGGACAGGCTTCTTAGGGTTTTCACAGATAGTCACATGATGTCTAGCTCCACAATTAAAACATTTGGCCCTTGACTGACAACCCGGTGCAATATGCCCTGCTTTCAAGCAAACAAAACACCTGCCACTTCGTCTCAGTATAGTTCTTCTAGCCTTTGGTTCAGTAATGGTACTACAGGTGATGGACTTGTGATTTTTCTTGCGAAAGACACATTTCAGAGTACACTCTTCACTGCCCGTATAAAGTGCAGATGAGGAAAGGGGCTGTTTGAATCTTCCCTTATGCTGGTCAAATCTAGGGTTAGAATTGGTTGGACTACTTGTTTTCACTGCATTACACCTTTCTCTTGCCTCCAACTCAGATTTCTGTGCATTTAACAGGACATCAAGGTCCCAAGTTTCTTTACTGCCAAACTTGCGACTGATGATTAATCTCAACTCAGAGGGAATTTTCTCCATTACAACTGGAACTAATAAATTTCCAAAGGACTCTGATTCGATGCCTAGTGCCTTCAAACTTCGAATGTTTATCTCAATCTTGTCATACAAATCACGAGGTTTCTTCGTTTCATGCACTGAACTGACTACTGGCAATTTCAACAAAGCGTCCATGTGGTTAGAAATCAACAGCTGTGGTTTACCAAATCTATCTCTAAGCATATCAATGGCAGTTTCGTAATTATCTTCAGTGAGAGGCAACCCAGTAATTGCAGATTCGGCTGCGCCTGTCACACAACTCTTCAAATACACTTTTTTTGTTAGGTGAATTTTTGGATTCTTGAAATGTCAGTGTTTCTGTTAACCGCAGATTCGAAAGTGTCCCAGAAACTCCGCCATTCCTCGTAGTTGCCTGAAAATGACTTTAGTTCTAGTTTAGGTAGCTTCACTTTCGCGCCCTCATTGCTTTTGACATTGTTATTAATTTGACTGAAGCTTGGTGAAGTTCCCACGTGTGCGCTATTTTTAGCATCCTCTAAACTCAAGTCAATTCTAGCCAAAATACGGTAAACTTTTGCACAAAACTCACCACAATCCTCGACTTCTTTCTCAATGTCTCTCCCCTTACTGTTTTCCAGAATTGTTTCGTCCAGCTTTTGGATAGTTTCTAGTCTTTCATTGAGGGTGAATTTCAGTCCCATAAGTTTTTCCCTTGATGAATCTTCCACGTGATCGGCAGTTTGCTCGACTAAAATCCTCGTCGCACCTTCCATCGTTTTCTCCACAGAAGCTCTCTGGGCATTTCTAATTCTCTTTGCTTTTTCGTTGTCCATTCTTTTCTTCTTGTACTGTAATCCTGATCTTGACGACTAATTGATTAAACTTGTTTCGCCGATCCGGCGATTGCGAAGGACCATGTAACCAAATGTTGTATATATAATCAGTTCTCTGTAGCTTTTATTCTTCACTCCATTAAAGCATATTTCTTCGCATGTTCATATTTTAGAATTCTGTACTCTGTTCTACACTTAAAGGATCCATCGACATCAATGCGCGTAAAACTTGATGATCTAAACTCAATCCACACACTTGTTCAGCTCAACATCTCCGAACGACTACACAGCTCTAACAAAAAGCTCAGTTTTCAGATCACGTGACGGGTTTTCCCGCCACAATGACGCAATAATTTCTAACAGTACATAATATGCAGCCACTTGGTGTATTTTTTAGACGCGTGAACGTGAGATGCCCAGGTTGTGGTAGTTGGCAGCATATTCAAGAGTGATGTGTGATGATATGTTTCAATTCAATGCTCACAATGAAATGCCATTTTTTTTTAAATTTAGATGTCGGGGGAGTTTCTTCGGTAAATATCTTTTGAGAATGAAAGATGTGAGAAAACAGTTTCTAAGCAGTTATCGGCGAGAACCTTTTTCTATCCCAACCGACCATGAGGAAAAATAAAATTGCGTTTTTTGTTTTGCTGTCAATTTTCAACAATGCTTCTGGTATTATTTTGAATGCTTTCACAAGAAGTCTTCCATTCTTCTTTTCTTAGGTTAAAAGGTTTATCGACATGGAACTTGCTTATATTAACACGAATCATCCGGATTTTATCGGATACGCAGAGTAAGTACATTGTAAGATTGTAAGGTGACATTTCAGTCAGTCAGATACTATTTTTAGCCAATCATAACGGTTCACAATCGGAGGAACATTTCTGTCAGCAGTTCTTCAGTGTGTAAAAATGGGGTATTTAGCTTCAAATGGTCATAAACTTTGCTGAAAATGGGCTATTGTTTTCAGAAATGACGGCACAATAATGAATCAAAAAATAGCGTCTGCAACATTAAGAAACTTCTTATAAATCATTTCAGAACAGTATTCTCAAGTATTTGAGGACAGTTTCAAACTATAAGCCCCCGGAGAGGCTATTTATTATAGGGAGATTTTTTGCATCTCGAATTTATGGGGTTTGTAATCCGGGGGATTGTGAAAACGGAAGGGCAAGTATGCGGAATTTTGTAGTTAAGCTGGTATCAAGCGCCGAAGAATATGTGCGATCAATACACAATTGGGGCTGGATGTACTGCTGATTGGTTTAAAAAGTGGAGCGACAGTTTTCAGCCAATTAAAAAGTAAAGAAAAGGGAACCAAACCAACTTTGAACTGTTTCTAATTTTGTTACAAAGCCGTGTACAAATGTGACAGTATTAATAGAATAGTCGTGACTTTTTCATGTATGTTAAGCAGGGGCTGCTTCTGATATTTGTAATAATGTATGTTTTTTTAACTGTTTACCAGTAAAACAGCTGTTTTTTTTTTTCTGACGCTACCTTAGGGCATCAAATGGCTCCTCTCCGGGCGAAAGAAAAACAAAGACAACTGTATCCAACCAGGTTTGTGCTTAAAGAAACCATTCTTTGTACAGCAGACTTTCTCACTTCTACGTCCTATCACACTCACAGCGCTCAATGCAAAGGTGCATGCTAAGCTGTTAGCAGAGCCAAAATTATTGATAAAACCATCCAGCCCTAAACTTCGCAAGTGGCATGTAAATGGTATGACCATATAAAACTCCCAGGGAGGCGACGTGCACAAGATTTTTCCTAAAAGCCACCAAATGTGTTAGTTTTCTTTCATTCAATAATCGTTTCTTAGTGAACGAGGATACTAGGGCGTGTGCTGTTTCCCTTATTGTTCATTTCAACAGTGTGATAAGTTGGTTAAATAACAATTATTCTCCGAAGTGGAGGTGGCTAGTTGTGGATGTATACCGAGGTAAATATCCATCACTCGTTACCGACACTGGGGTGAATAATTGCTTTAGTATATACTAAAACAGTGAAATAATTGAGCAAAAATGATGATTTTCAACTCAAATACTGTTGCCAACGATTACAATTTTGGCGCGTAATAATGACCGAACGGCCGCGGCCGTCGCTTTTACTTGCCGACAAATAAAACTTTTGAAAGCATTTGTTTAGCTCTTGCGGGAAAATTTCTTCAAAAGGACTTGTGAATTGTTTTTGTATTCAAAATCATTCTGTAAAAAAATATTATTGAATTTAGTTTTAAGCTTATTTATGAACAAGTCAACTAAATAAAGTAACGCAAGACTTAAGCCTAATTTGCATTTGTAAAGAAAAAAAATTTTCACCGGTTTTATCGATAAATTCGAGTCAAAAAGACAAAGCTTTACCTGTTAAAACTTTCAAACCGAACTTAGTCACCTTCTACGTGTATTTCGGGAACAGCTTGCTTGATTAATTGTGAAATTTCTTTGTTACGGCGGCAAAGCGGGAAGGCATTTTGCTAGCAACTTACGCGAGTTTGGCGTCGCTCGCTCGGAGGAACTGGAAGTGAATAGTGCAGGATATTCACTGATTTAGTAGCCAATGAGAGCACACGAAAAACATTATCCACTGTCTTAGTATATACTAAAGGTGATTAACACTGGAAGCTCTCGAGAGCGGAGACCCTCGGGACATGGAGTACTGGAGCATGCCGCTTACGGGAATTTGAAAATACAGAGTTTGAATGGGGGAAAAAACGGGGTTTTGTGAAGGTGGCCGTAAGTAAAGCTGCTGTTCGCTTACGAGTGTCCTCTAGGAAAGCTTCCGCTGTATTTCTGTTGTTTCCCTTTTCTTCTGGTACATGGTTACTGGAGCTGGCCGCTTACGGGAATGTGAAAATAAAGAGCTTATATAGTAATATGAGTCGATAAAAAACGGGGTTTTGTGAAGGTGGCCGTAAGTAGAGCTGTTGTTCGCTTACGAGTGTCCTCTTGGAAAGCTTCCACAGTAGTTCTGTTGTTTTTTTCCTCTTCTTCTTCTTCTTCTTCCTCTTCATTTTTTTTTGCCTTTTAGGTGATCAGGAAAGGCTGGCTCACGATAAGCAATGTTGGATTTATGAAGGGTATCAGCAAAGAATACTGGTTTATACTAACAGGTTAGTATCCTATTTCACAACACTCAATTACTCACGCTCATTGTTATTAAGATATGGGAAAATTGATCGAGCGCCCTCGAGGAGGTGGAAACTGTAATCGATTCCCGATCCAAACACGAATTTTTAGCAAAAAAGGGTTGGGGAGGGTGGGCCGTTCCACCTTCCTCCTTGGCGCTGATCAGAGACTGAGCAGAGAGGGAGTGTTCAACGGCATTTATTATTGCCCCTTGGGAAGCATGGCCCCGTGCACCTGCATACCCTTGTGCATGAGACTTGTCATTTTAACGTTTTGGCTTCGCGCTTCGATTTGGAGTATTGTGAATAGTTGGAGAGACTTAAGGCTCGATTAGGTCATTTAAGCAAAGCCTATGTTAGAGCGCGGTTCAAGATACGTAGTAGGCCTCCAAATATGTTTTAAAAGTTTTTTTTTTGTAAATAATAAATGTATTCTTGCTGGAATGTAAGACTTCTTGAGACTGCCTTCTTTAAATGGCTCAGAACGCGGTTTTGTTAAACACCGTTAAATCTAGATGATCTAACATTGTACGTATATATTGGCTGGCTTTAAGTCTTTGGCATTGACAAAATATTGTTTTATTGCATGGTTACTGATTCTCTCTGTGATTGGCCAGAAATTTCCCTCTGCACTGCTTTTGCCAAAAACAATTGGAAAAGCCCTAACCGTGGCTACAAGTTGTTTCTTCGATACCTAATTCGTTCATTTTTGTAGCCAGGACTTGTGCTGGTTTTACGGCACTTGATTGAAAGGCGTGTGCTTAGAGTATGGATATTTAAGGCGTTTCAGTTTTTTTCTGGGAGCCTTTGTACCGATTTCATTCGACGTTTTGTCAAGTCACCTAGACATTTAAGCCTGGTGACAAGTTGTTTGCATTGGTGTTTATAAAGTTACTTCTACTGCCTCGATCAAATCAAGATTTCGCGTTGAGAATCGATGTAGGCATGTACCGTATTTACTCGATTAGCGCCCAACCTCGAATAAGCGCCCACCTCGAAGCACCCACCCTGTAGGTAGGAAAGGTTACAGAGCGTCAGTAATCACCATAACATTGTTCACACATCAATACTTAAATTGTATTCTGGGGTTCAGAGTTGGTGCAGGTGGGGTTAAGAAGACCTCCATTTTTATCCTCACTCTTAACTTTGACCAAACTTTATGTCCTGGCGTTAGTATGATGTCCATTTCATTTTCATCTTATTTTGTTTTTTATTTTTAGCCGAAACACTTTGCTGGTACAAGGACGATGAGGTGGGTTTCAAACTCAAGATACTTGAGTTCATGTTACAGGGCACGTTTCAGGGACGAAGTGAAAAGACAAATCTTTTTTGTGTAGTTATACTTCTGAATTTGGGAAACGCAAACTATTTTTGCGGGAAATATACCCCCTTAACATGTGGCAGTTCAAATAACTGTCGGTTAAGTAAAATGTTGAGAGGCCATTTTTACGGTTGTACAGTGCTTCTCTGTAACGGTATCAAGAGTAAATTGGCCAGTCAGAGACAGAATTCTGTCTCCCCGCTACACGTGCCTGTGAAATGTCTGGTGTGCGTGTACTTACTGTTACAATTGGCTTCGGCGTGTCCCGCAGCATGACCTAGCGTGTTTATGGAGTGTATTCACATAACGTCGCTTGCGGCCATTATTGGTGTTCGAAAACAATGAGATGACGGCCATGTTGGTCTACCAAGAAAATCCTGTGAGAGTTGAACTCTTTTCTTATGTAAATACTTTCTTTTGTTCCTGTGAATTTGTATAGAGGCTGGCCAGCTGAGTGAATACGCTCTATTTTTCTAGAATTCGCTACTTTAGATGCGACCACGGGACTGCGGTGCCGAAATGTGTCTCGCAATTATTTCTGAGATTCTTACTTGGGAACGCGCGGGTCAGCTATTGGTCAATTTTTTTCCCTGTCTTCATTTTCAGCCCCAGAAGTCTTTGCGAAAGTTAACTCGACCCAGCTTCCTTCTCGTTTCGTATTGCGTTTTAAGACGTGTAACAGGTCCGGGGAGAATATAGGAACTACCAGGGAACGCTCTAATTGGTTTAGCCAAACGAAATAAACACGCAGGGCCTTTTCGGTCGGTCTAGCGGACGCGCGAGGGAGAGCAAACTTCCTTTTGAGAGCCATCCATTTTCAGCATTCCCCACTAGACAATTGTACAAACATTAGAACGTCGTTTTAGCGGGCGAGTGTTTATTACCGGCAGTCGTTTTGGTCCCAAAGATACCAAACCTCACCATCAGTATAACGAGTTCAATTCACGGACAGTTCTCTTGGTCCCAGAGATAACAAACATCTTACACTCCCTACCTCTATAATACATTCACCTTTCTATTACGGAGAGTTGTTTTGGTCCCAGAGATACCAAACCTCATACAATTCCTATCTATAACATGGATATCAGTTTAAACGCATCAACAAAGATAAGATAAGCGTGGGGGAAGAGCCTGAAAAGTTGGTAGAGCAAGAACCGAAGCCAAGAGCAACGCGTAACCATGACAACCCTGTGAGTGGCAACCACCCGGGCACCGTCACATTTCTAACCAGTGCATCCTGGAATACTTACCATATACTTACCAAAGGGAGGGCAGGGAAGGGAGCAAACAGGCTAACAAGCTTGAGTACAGAGAAGCATCGTGAAGATAATGGACTGACCTCAGCCAACAAGCTGTAAAACCCAAAGGCCCCTGCGAAGCCATAGGGCGCCCCTGAAATTCACGAGAGAGAGACTGATGGCCAGCATTGTCTCGAGTTGGTCTAACTATTTTCATTTAGCCACATATAAAACGGACCCTTTGGTACCAATATTAAAGGCTGACTCCATTTGCAGCGGAAAGAGTGACAGCTAAACTATGAAACAACAAGAATCGCCGAAAGGCGATTTTTAACTGGGCTGTAAAGGGGCTATTTTTTCTGAGGGGAGGGGGCGGCTATACACACTCAGGCTACCATAAAACCTTGTCGGCAACCATTGCATGCAACAGAATCTCATGTGAGACTGAAACATAAACTCATTCAGAACATTGTACCCTTTTGAAAGACTTTCGTAACCAAAAAAAAAAGAGTACCATTTTTAAGTGCGGGCTGTATAATAACTTTTAAATTCCACCATTATGACTAAAAATAAACAAGTTGGCCATTAATTCTAAACAGGAAACAATTTGCATTATTTCCACGCACCCCTCCCCCAATCCCTCTGTGCCCCAAAATATAGCGTGACAGTATAACGTGACTAATCTGACGTAACCGGAAATTCCAAAAGTTGTTGTCCTTCTACGAGCATAAAATGCGACAGACTGAGCTGATTTACACTAGACAGAAATATTGTATTGTATGAAAACCAGAAGTATACTAAAACAGACAGTTAACTGCCCATTGATCCCACCTGATCCAGGGGCCTCACTGACTGCACGGAGACTTTACTGCGCTTTTCACAAACATGCGAACTCTAAAGTTCAAAAGCCACCTTCACAATTGTGTTTATCGCTGCCGTCAATCATAATTACGATCACAAGCAACGAACCTTGAAACAGAGAAACACACAAAACGGATCGAAATCCACAAATCACAAACCATGACCTTTTGAACCCGTGAAGTAAAGTTTTGTTTCCTAAGAGGTCCGTTAAGATGATTGACACCAGCGAAAAATGCAATCGTCGGTTGGGTTCTGAACTCCAGAATTCGCATGTTTGTGAAAAGTGCGATCCTAATTTGCGGTCCACAGTCTACATGAAAACGCACTATTTTTTCCACAAGATGAAAAGTATTCAGATTTAAGATTTTCCTCACGGTATTTTTCTTTAACTTAAAGGAATAAAATCCTTTGCATTTTGAGACCTAAAAAAGTTTAAAGATTTCTCGCTCGCATGTTGTGTTCACCAGCACGCACTTCAAACAATGTAAATAGATGAAACGATCGATAACATATTTTTTACCTGATACCGATGTGAGTTAAAAATTCGCTCCAGTTCTGTTTGTTTCACCCAAGACTAACTTTTCTTCATGGAAACTATGCCGCTTTATAACTCGTCCGAGGTTTTTGTGCCAGCTAAACAATATGGAAACACTATTCACAGTGACTCCTTGACTGAACATGACGCACTATTATGCCTTTATTTACTTCTGATCACATCTTCAAGCGAAGTCTCTCTTTTCAAGCGATTCATCTCAATGTACAATAATTGACCCTTATATTAGTTAAAATAATATAGTTCATTTATATTAATGCTGTTTTTGCCCCTCACATTGACTGTGTTCGTTCGTATTCAAAACACCTTTACGCAAATAAAGGTCGTATGAGTCATGTGTGTTATGTTTCGAGATAAATGGATTATACGCTTTTTTAAGTTTCCATTTTGCGGTGACTTCAGTTTACATCTCCATAAAATGGTAAAAGAAATATCAAGAAACATCACGAGAGCTGAAAATTTTGAAAGGCATGTTTCTGAAACTCGCTAATGCTGACATCAATATAGCGTGCTTGCTGAATGGGCGAAAACACAGAATTGTGATCACAAGATCTTGTACAAATTTAATGACAAAAGCTTAGCAAGATACAGATACAAACAAAAGAAAACCCCCTGAAACCTCGACGTGGGCTACACTTGTATGCTCTACTCAGTCACCAAACCTTGTCAGCAATAGCTCCTATTTTCCTCAAGTCGCTCTCTGTGAAGCTCCCGGATGGGATGTCCCGGAGAAGCTTTTAACTTGTGTGCGAAATTCTCAGAGTTCCTATTTTTGTCCGTGTCTTCTTTATCCTCAGTATCCGAGATTAGATCTCCAAAGTGGCGTGTGTTGCATTCAATAGAAGGAAATATTTAAAGGAAAAGCCAGTCTTCTAACATGGCAAAGTTCAAAGTTGTCACGTCCCTCGCTTATGGACGTGCCTCACATCAGGATTCATCTGCCATTCATCGGCAACTGAGTTGTTCGCTTCACTGACTATGACGGCTTACAATCAAGTCTTTAGCCATAGTGTCGTCAACTGGTGAAATACTTTGCTCGTAAATTGTGGTTCTTAATTGCTCATGTACTACATCGATCGATAGTTCACGAAGCAGCTACGGCGTTCCAAAACTGACGCTCACAGTCATCTTTTCAGTCTTTTAGTGTGAACCTACCGTGAACGGCTTGTCGGTTTGAATGCAACGCGAGCATTTCTCTGAGTTTCCCAGCGCCAACATTATCTAACTGACTTAAACTCGAACAATAAAAAAATTATAGAGTTAATGCCATGGTCGAATAGCTTCGAACAACGCAAATAGCTTTCTTCAGGTTCGCAACGCCTTGTGGGTTTTTCAGGGGGAGCGCAGACAAGGTACAAAAAGTATCCGTGCAAGGGTTCATGCAAGAGAAAACCCTATGAAACCATTTGTGAGAACATCGTTTCTGCGTACTAGACCCTCGTGTTTTCCCTCCCCCGGATGACCACTTTGTGACACCGACGACCGAAAACCCATTTTATGACTGGGCGCACAGGCAGCCCAGTAAATAGCGTATAGCCAGGTTCTGGGAAAACCCTTTTATGTTTTATATTGTCTTCGAACCAGGAAAAAGAACAAAAATATCAGTTAGGATTGGATGGCGTACGATTGCGTGATGCCGAAGCCGGATTCATTTCGCGCAAGCCTGGTTTTGCTATCTTCAATCCGGATCACAAGTGAGTCTTAAGTTCGACGAATGCTTGTTTATTGAACAAAGAGTACCTAGAACCTGTAGAACTACTGTCACAGCTGTCTGTCGTAATTGTTCATTTTCTGATACGTGACTTAAATGGCCCCTCTGACTGATTTAACTCAGCATTATTTTCATGTGATGAACACGATGAAACTGCACAGATAAGTCAAGAAGTGCAGTGTGGAATTTTTCTCTGATATATTTACTTCATTTATGACTCGAAGTTGTGTGTTATGCTTTCTGGTAGTCGTTATTGACGGTGCATAATCTGGGATTGAGATTGCACAAGCCAAATAAACAATTCCTGTTGAATTTTTCGATCCGCCCCTCCAGAATATCTCAGAGTAGACCCATCTAAGGTGTCAAAAAAGTGTAGAAATCATTTCAAACAATAGTTTACACTAGCATGATTATCACTGCCAAATTAAGCGGAAAAACAACTAATTGCCTCAAAATTTTGTAGGAATCGAACTGGAAAAAAAATGTATTTAGTGTATTTTACGATTAACTTGGCCTGTCCCTTTGCCTTAGAAACCTGTTTAAAGATTACAAAAGTCTGGAGCTGACTGGAGAAAACCAAGACGTCGTGGATAGTTGGAAAGCTTCTTTCTTACGCGTGGGGGTCTACCCAGAAAGGGTATTTTCAGATGATAAAAGTCTGGTGAGTTCCATTCGTCTTATTATTGATAACGTTTGAGGGAGGTAAAAACAAACACGTGATGAAATATGATGTGGTAATGTGAGCAATTTTAGCTAATTTTAACATTGGCCGATGCGGGAAATACCATAATATTCTTTGTACTGTTGTTTGGGTAGTGCGTCATGTAAACCTGACTTTTGCTTTTTCTTTTGTTCTTTTCGAAGAGAATAACGTCAAACATACCGTCGAATGGAACATAGTCAGTTTAACATTGCTCTTGGAAATCACGCATTGCTCGCGCAACCTACGGATCAGTCAGTTGTTTGTTTGCAGATAAACTAACTAATCTGTTGGTTTGCGCTGATTTCCAAAATTAGTTGTAAGCTTTTAGCCAAAGAGAAGACAGTGAGTACCAACGTATAATGATCCACGTGATCTAGAATATAGCGAGGCACAAAATAGATCTTTTTTCACGGTTGAGAAAAAGCCCCTGAAAGAGCTGTGCAGGACAGCTGAAATGGTGACACAGAAGAGAGTTCGATGAGAGACCATTACTGCTCCTTTCGGACGCAATTACCTTAAAACCCTTAATGCATTTCGCGTTTTTCTTCCTTATCATTGTCACATTAACTTTTTCAATTTTTTTGTTCTCAGCAAGTTGAGATAGGTACCCTGGACCCTCAGCTGGAACGACAAGCGGAAACTATACGAACCCTGGCCGATTCTTACATCAGGATTGTCAGCAAGACAGTACGGGATCTAGTGCCTAAGACTGTAATGTTCTTTGTCGTTAACAATGTAAGCTACCTTCCTTACTATACTTGAATACGATGATGTCATACATTATTTCGGTAAGGGATGCTATCGTATTTCCATCGTTTTAGCGTTTCCGCGTGGACGGACGAAAGCGATTTGAATACGCTACTTGTGGACGCGTATGTTGTCGAAAACGGAAAACAATTCTCCGTTTTCAAAAATATCTGCTGGATACAGTGGACGAGGCCTAACGTCTGACCTGCCCCCTTCAGTGCTAGTTTCAAATTTACTATTAGGTTTCTTGAAACTAACAGTGAAGAAGGCAGACGTCTCTGCCGAAAAATCCATGCTTAATTAAGATCTGTTGTTTGTAACTTGTCAACCTGCTGCTGCGTACACCTTTTACTTTATTTACAAGGCAAGTCACACAGTTTACAAAAGGCTGACTTGCTAACTAAATGGTGGGTGGGTGAACGAGTATGGGGATAGATAATTGACAATTAATGAATGAGGCTGAGTATCTTATGAAGAATTATGGAGATCGAATTCAATAGTTGTTTTATTATTCATTCAAAATAATTCCTAGTTTAAAAATAAAGCTAAAACATGCTTACCTCCATCGATGTTAACTTTACCTTCGATAGTGCACGTTTAGGGTTGTTCAGCTCCGCAAATATTCTCCAAATAGCAGATGCCGCCCTTCGAGTTGTGTTCTTGCTGTTCTTGCCATGTTTTTAGCTATAATTTCGGCTAGTTCTTACTCTTAAAACGAGTGAAATGTCCGCCATTTTTTGTTTCCACAACTAAAACAACTCAACCTCGTCCCCAGGTATTCTCGGTTAACGGTGCATTAACCTGCAAGAACGCTACATTTTTGACGTCATTTCCTCGTTAAACACAAAGTTCTTCCAAATTTGGTCATCAGGAACTGGTTATGGTGAATTATGCGTGTGCTTTTAGCCAGTCACAATCGGGGAAATATTTTGAATGAATAATATATTACAGATACTGAACTGTTCCCCTCAGGGGTGACAACCTTAAGTGAATGTCTTCTTTGCTCTGTCTTTAATTACATTACAGGTAAAAGATTTTATAGGCCAAGAGTTGCTAGCATATTTATATTTGACCGGAAAAGAGGTGAGAGAAAGTTATTGTGAACAGCTTTGATAAACGTTTGTAATACGTTTGGTAGATAAGTACTTTTTCCCTGGAATTGTGTTAAGGTATTTAATGTACTCACTCGTCAGACACAACTGAATAACGTAGAATTCAGTGGTGTGGTGAAAGTGCGCCATCAAATATCCGATATGTTCACCCTATACCGAAGAGCTTTTAGTGCCGTCACGAAAAGCTCTTCGGATCGGTATAGTATGAACACCTATCCGATAAGTGGCTCTCCACTTTAGAGATCGGCGCGGGGCAGCTACGCTCCGTTACAGAAATGGCGCTGATATCACCGTTAATGTGTGTGAACAGAAGCGTTATCCGGTATGTTTTTTGTGCGGGCGCAAAGGCTCTCCGGTACAGTGTGAACAGAGCCTAAGCCTAAGCCTGATCAAAATTTCACTGAAATTTACCCCGATAACTCGAATTCTCCGCTAACTCGAAATGTTAACTTTTTCGTTTCCCTTCAGAGTTCAAGTTATCGGGCTTCTACTGTATATCTATAGTAATTTAATCTCACCTGTGTTTCCTCGTCTTGAGTTTTAGATTCTAGGAATGTTACGAAACCACGAGGAAGACGGTAGTGAAGGCGTCTGCTTGAGAGTGAATTCACATTGATCTTCATCTCCATTATTTCAATTCCGTGTTGAATTCTGCTGCGAAATCTGAGTTCAAAAATAGAGAGGAAATTCGTCTTCTTGTGTTCACATTTCCATTGACAGTACATCTCATTAAGAAATTTCACGCCGTATTTGAGCTTATTTGTGCACGGGACGGAAAAGAAATGTACCCAAAAGTGTGGTGCACGTGCAGAGTAATGGTTTTGCACAAGTTGATGTTTTTTAAGGACGGCCGCGGAAACACAGCGACAAAAGTTGTCTTTAATCTACTTCCTAAGAATTCAACTTATGGAGAATTCGCTTACATTTGATAACCTTAGGCAGGTAAACTAATGACAATGAAATTTGAAAGAACGTGAATACATATTACAAAACCATTTTGGCCCCCGTCTCTGCCTTGGGCCAAGGCCAAACGTCGAACTTTTCATGAGATGAACCAAACTTAGTCAGTAAAATTCATGAAAAGTTCGACGTCTCAGGTAAGTTCGTCTGAAAAAACTTTATGAAAATTGCTTATTGGTCTTATTCAGTTTGATTGGTTAGATGCGAAGTTCGACGTCTGACCCAAAAAGCGATCTTAACTTAATTTAGGTCGACACAAATTAGAGTTTGGTTCGTCTAATGAAAAGTTCGACGTTTGGCCCAGGCCTTAGTTCCTTGAACACCCGATCGGCGTACGTATGTTCCCTGCGTTAATAGAGCGCTTTAGATTTGAGGACGAGAACGAGTACGAGACAGTACGAGATTTAACTAAAAGTTTTTTCGCGTTTTTTTTTTAAAAGACAGCCCGAAAGCTTCATTTTAATTTTAATTTTTCACCAAAAACGTTAGTACGGTTATTTATACTGAAGGAGGTTAAGCCCTCTCTTGATAGAAAAATGATAAAACTTCTTATCTTTGATAACCTGTTCCCGCCACCCTGAGACTCTCGCCAAAACTCGTAGTTAAGTGACGACGGCTATCGCGTTTTCCCGCCACGCATCAGCAACACTCAGTATTGAGAAAATCTCGTACTAGTAGTCGTCCTCGTCTCAGAATCTAAAGTTCTCTAATTATGACTGTTCATGGCTCAGAATGACCTGATGCAAGAAAGCGAGGCCGAAATAAGTCGCCGAGAGGAGATGTTGCGCATGTTTCACAGCTTAAAAGAGGCTCTACGGATAATCGGCGAGATAGACGTCACCACCATTACCACAGCACTGCCGCCGCCTGTGGATACGGGAGACCTGGACTCAATTGACTCATACAAACCTCCAAGGTTTGACAAATAGTTTTCTCTTGAAGTAGAATTTTTACTCAAATCCTTGTGTTACTGCGAAAATGTGACGACCGCACACTTGATTAAAAAAACTGCCTTACAAGTTTGTTATGTCACAGAAAATCCATTTTTCAACCAAATATCGTTATTTTACACTCCCTGCACCCATCCTTTCCCCTCCCAGGTTCGCCCAGGTTGAATTTGATCGTACGCTGATTTCCAAAAGAGGTGGAAAAAAATTGTTTTTTTTTTTTAAATGTGTGTATATGTTCGCTTTTAGTTGTTGTTGTTGAGCGTTTTGTTTCTCCGACTTAAAATGGTTTATAGGCAATATCTGGCAATATGTATCTGAGTCTCATTTGATTCGTACCATGTACTAAAGTCTACTTTTGTAGTACTCCATAGATTGCAAGTCTGTGACTTGCTTTTATAGTGATTGTAAGAACTTTTCCAGTGCACTTGTAATTGTTTTTCTTTCTTACGGGGAAGCAGACAGCCGCCTCCACCTCGACCGTCCTCGGGTGCAAATCTCACACCATCCTCACGCACGTCTCGTCCCGTCCCTAGCGTGCCATCAAGACCAGACAGTTCTCCAACTGTACCAAGGTGAGCAGTGCATATTTTACCACGCTCAAATGACTGAAAAATCATCTTTCTCTTGTATTCACGAGGTTCAAAATTCACCATCACCTCTCTATCATTGCGCGAAAGCAAATATCGACATTCTTGTCCTAGCACAAGGTTCGTACAGGTCATGGAAAACATGGAAAGTCATGGAATTTAAGAATTTCATTTTCCAGGCCTGGAAAGTCATGGAATTTAATTGTCGGTCCTGGAAAGTAATGGAAAATTAAAGATTTGTTCAATAGATAATTTACTGCAAATGACAAAGCAAAGACAACGTTGATCAAAGACGAGAAATCAAACAGCGCGAACCGCACACATTTTGGTGGACACTAGAGTTTGTGTCTGTTGAACTAAAACAAGGAGAGTCTATAAGGTCTAGAAAATCTGAAAAAGTCATGGAATTTGAAGAGCTCAAAAGAGTATGCAGGATGTTGTCACAGGAACCTTCTTTAGAGGCCTTAGCTGCCACGAGTCTCCTGTATCTTAGGGGTAGAGCATCTGGACTAGTAACCAGAAGATATAGGTTCCGAGCCATTGACTAAATAACATCTTTCCAAATTCAGGGTTCTCACAGTCTTGAAAAGTCCTTGAATTTTAGGGAAAGTCCTTGAAACGTCTTTAAATTTCTGTGCTCGTCCTTGAAAATTCCTTGAATTTTCTTCAACTTAGAATGTGGTGGCCTGGAAAGTGTTTTTTAACGCTTTTTGGTTTTCCATGACAATATGTACCATGCTCAGAGACGTTTAAAGTGATTTACGTAAAGCATTTTTTGTTTTATGCAAGAATTAACTATTAAATTAAGACAAGTGAACTAAAAAATGTAGACAAGTTGGTGGAGGACACACTTCAAGCCTTTACAATCCTGTTGGAATGGAATGAGAATGTGCATTTTTTTACAATGTACGAAATTACATTCCTGAAAGGTGGTCCTTGAAAATCGAATGTGGTCTTGGAAAAGTCCTTAAAAAATGGTTGCAATTATTTGTATGAACCCTGTTCCATGTATTCTCCTTGGCTTAAAATTCTCAATCACTTTTCTATTATTACGCATAACCACATATGGACATTCAAATCCTAGAAGTATGCAGGATGTTTGTCACATGGCCTGAACTCCCATGAACTCTCCTATAGCTCAGTGGTAAAGTATCTGGGTCAGTAACCAGAAGGTCATAGGTTTGAAACCAATTAGGAGTACTCGGATTTTATTCTATCGAGCTACTTGTGTCGTTGATGAAGAAAACAAATCGTCTTTCTTAAAGCAAAATACTTCAAAGCTAAGGTCGAATGAATGAAACTAAAATTATAAGGTACTGCGAACTTTAACAGCATTCTGGAGGAAAGTAAGTTGCATCTTTTTGGACTCCGATGCCTTTTAAATGTCCATAGGAGTGGATACTTGAAAATGCTATACCTTCTTCCACACATAGCAGTAACTTGTGGACGAGAGCTAACATTTTACGGGTCAATAAAAAAGGATCTGATGTGGAATGCTTCTGATGTGTAACGTTTTTGTTCTTTTTGTGTCTATTTCACCACAGGAAACCCAATGCACCAGCAAAGCCAGCTCCTCCTTCTCCAGTACCTGGTCGGCGACCTGTGCCCTCAAGACCTTAAATGTCAGCTGTGTCTTTGCAGTTCTTGATATGGAACATAAAGCCCGGTCCCAGTTGTTCAAAGGTGGATAACGCTCTCCACTCGATAAACCTCTATCCAGTGGATAGTGTTATCCGAATTAGTTTCCCTAATACTTATCCACTGGATAGTGATTTATTCGATGGATAGCGCTATCCAGCCTTTAAACAACTGGGACCTAGTTTCCGTATAAACGTCGGGATCGTCTATATCGCCTCGTATTTTTGGGACGATAGAGACTATCCAACTATCCGACTAGCATATGTAGAAACGTTAGTTCTGTCCAATTGCACCACAGGTGCGCTTGGTCGCCTCAATCGCCTTAGCAAATTTTGAGACGACTAAATTTTCAAAAAGATCTCTTGCGGTACCCGGATTTGAATAAGAAATTCTATTTTCTCCCGAGCCAGCCAATCAGAGCACGCGTACCTCGAAGCAATATTCTGTAGTCCGTATACCATTCGTAAGATCTTGCTAATCGTTATTCCACTTCCTTCCCACCATCTTTCTTGGATGAAATAGTACGTAATGGACAGCAACTTTCATTTTAACTAGGTTTTGCAGATCGGTGAAAACGAGAAGGAAGGAATCAAAACAAAACAAAAAGCACACCCTAACACGAAATATTTCACGCCAATGTTGTTCTCGTATTCTCCCATTTAATTTTCGGGACAAATGGAGGTTATTTTTATTAATAGTTACAAGGTGGAAGTTGTTGAACAAATTCTTTCTATAGGTTAGTATTTGTTTTGCAATAATGAACAAGACTGACTAGTACAGAAGTTCGGGCTTCGGCGACAGCAAAGGCTTGACGCGATTCAGAGAGAGCCTCGTTTTCACCTTCCTAAAAGGATGCTCTGCCAGCAGGGTGAAGGTTGCATCGTCAACATTATTATTTTGCAGATACTACTTCGTCTCTTATTTCTCTTCAAAGTTACCGGGGTGGCATTAAACGCCAGGGCGCTCTCGCACAGAGCATCTTCTGATTAGACTGGTATAGTAACAATAATTGTGATTAAAGTGGCCCAATGATAAACAACCTTTTGGTTTTCCATAAATGGAAATCCACGTATACGAAAAAAAAAAAGCTTTAAACACACTTAACCAATTTAGCCCGCGAAGACATGATGAATTCAGGTCTTCAGCAATTTTGCATGAAAACGAGATTGTCTGTCATTTTGTCATGCTTAACTCTTTAGGAAGGTAAAAAATGCTGTTGCCTTTTTGTGGTTTGACCCTTCTGATTCTTAGGAGGATAGGTACGTTTTCCCTTCTCCGTCGACAAATTACCACAGTACCTCCTTCGTCTCTTTCTTTTCCAATGTCAGCCGATTCCATCAAATCATTTTGACAAGTTTTGCTGGCCTTGTATAAGCATAGCAACAACGTAAATAGATATAACAATGCCGGAATAATTAAAGTGAATATTAGCGTAGTTAATACTGGTTTACGTAGTTATTTTTTTTCCGCAGTGTTTGCTACCAAAATCGTCAAATACCACTCCTAAACGAGATCCTGACAAATAACAAGTTGCAGCTATTCTAGACATCAAATACCCTCAGACACCCTGAATTGTTTTTTCCCAACAACACCTTCCTTCCAAGGACATATCATTACTTCCACACCTCTGAGCCAGCAAAAAATTGCCTGAAGAACAGATGTTTTGATGAACAGATCCATTGGGTGCCCCTGTATTCTTCTAGGGTAGATCTGAACCTATTTATAGCTAATATACTTGTCTTCACCCCAACGTCCGTTTACGTGATCTTCACCTAAATTCTCACGATATCAAGTTTAAGGGCTCCTGGCCATAACTGGTGGAAGTGAAGGCACAGGCCGGTCCTAAGTAATACAACAGACACACTCAAAAAACAAGACTCAGGCTGGGCTATTCCCCCACCCCCTTCCCCCAAAATGATTTTACGCTTAACCTCTGGGTCTTGAAAAAGAGAGGACAACCCAGAAATGGCCTTTTCTACCCCTCTTATACCAAACGAGTAGTAGCAAATGATGTATCATACTGTGCCGCTACGGTCGGGGCTCTAAATGGTGGGTCCAAACTTTTTTGTAGTTCCATGTTTTCACATGACGTCACGGTGGCCATGGTGTTTCAAAGCAATCCTGGAGCAGTTGAACACTTTTCTTATGTAAATGCTTCCTTTTGTTCCAATATTTTTGCATAGATAAAGGCCACGTAAGTGAAAGTGCTCCATTAACCACTTTGACATAGACTATAATAAAACTTGTTTACCCCCTAAAATTTTGCGTAACCGTTGTTTCCAACTTCCTCTGGGCATTACAGTCGTCCCAAGAGAAATCGAGGACAAAAGTTTTCTTTCTCTTTCTAAACTTGAATGCGGTCCCCAAGAAATCAACTCAGCGAACTTCGCCTACATTTAACATTTTCAGCGAATTGGTATAAAGGCGACAAAGTTTACAAAAGGGCGAATTCATCATAAAAGTGACGTTTTCGACGTCGTCGATGCTAAAGCTCCCTAGGAATTTTCACGTTGTAATCGTGCAATGACAAAAAAAAAAGTGATGCACGAGCAGTGTTGTTGTGCGGCTTTATAAACTATAGGTGGTTTTCATGCAATCTCGGGAGACACAAATAACAATGGTGAAATGAACAAATGCTGGTGGACAAAAAAAGCGAACTAATGAGCGATCTTTTGTTTACCGTCCACCAGCATGGCGGCGATGACGTAACGAGAAAACCACCTATAGTTATTTATTTTGTTGTCCCCGGTGCGATGGGCAACTTTCGCCAAGTGGACGTTGATGTAGATGCTTTGTCGGACCTTAAGGTGCCTTCTGTTATCCATCTGTTTATCCGTCTATCCCTTTAACCTCCAATATCCACATATAAACTCTCCATACTGATCTTCATACGTTTCTTTAACGAATTAGTTGAGAGAGTTTGATAACAGATCAAAGCATTTTCTCTTTAGTGATCATTTTATTAACTGTTATAACCATTTCTCTTGGCAACATATGGATATTGTTAGGAGAAAATTGACGATGGTCACTATTGGGACTTAAAGGGCTATATTGAGGACGGATTATCCGTTTCCGTTCTCGAAAACGACAATTTACACGCTGTTCAAAAAATTAATTACTGTATGAGTTTCACCTTTATTTTTCCCTTTCATTTCAATCTTTCCCTTTTCTCCTATGTTCCTCTCAAAATAATTTACATAGTTTTTCTGCTCAAGACCAATGAGGAAGGAGCAGATTAAATTTCTATCTACAAGTGATAATTTACATGAAGGAACATTGATAGACGATTAACAAAAACTCCCAGGGTTTAATTCCCAGTATATTGCAGACCCTGTTGTCCGTTAGGAGTCTGGATCAGAGATACGGGTACAGCCTGGGCCACTGTAGACTGGGGCGAGACTGGAAGCGTCACAACTTGAGGTTGCACAGCACTGAGGATCTGAAATGCGTCCGCGGTAAACAGGCCTTCAGTGTTCAGCGGGGTTGCCTGGGTGGCTGTCAAACTTCCTTGCAGGGTAGCAGTGGTTAGCGCATTTGTCGTCGCTAAAGCAATGGTGGCATTGGTTTGTGTTTCTTGCGATTCCGGTTGCTGTGCTGTTTGCGGCTGAGCTTGTGTTGCTTGTTGAGGTGTTTGTTGCTGTTGGTGTGCCTGTGGTGGCGCTCCTTGTTGGGGTTGCTGTTGCGGTTGAGTTGTTGCTTGCTGTATCTGTTGGACGGGTTGGATCTGATGGACAACCTGAAAACAAGTAGAGGTTATTCCATTAAAATGTCTCATGATACGGAGGATTTTGAGCACTTTTACTAATTGCACGAGTTGGCCATGTTCTAAACAAAAGGTGTCTGGTACCAATGCCTAAAATCGATCGGATTGGATTGTACGGTGGCCCAGAAGGGTCACACACGCAAATTAAAAATGAAAAGTCCTGCGCGCACAGTATGAGTGATGAGGACCTGGTCCGAGCCGTGCGACCTGGCCTTAGAACCGTCGGCCCATTCATGTTTCATGTTTGTAATATTTTTAGTTTGCATGTACAATTTTTAATTTGCCTGTCCTATTTTAAATTTGCAGCAACATTTTTAATTTGCAGGTAAAATTTTTAGTTTGCAGCAACATTTTTAATTTGCATGTGTGACCCTTGTGGGCCACCGTAGGATTGAGTCGAAAAGTGAACCCTACGACATGAAAAAGTGTCAAAACCGAATTCAACCTGTGGAATTTAAGTGTGAATGGACAGGACAAAATACTTTGTCCCCTGATGAAGAAAATCAACAACAAACAAGGTTCAAATTTGTACAATTTGGTTTTAGAAGTTTTATCACGCGTTCCTGACCCACAAACGTCTGCCGAAAAAAAAAGGAAAAAGAACGTAGACCAAGCACAGCACACCCAGATCTGGGAAGTGCACTTTGGACCGGGAGAAAGTTCGCGCGAGACTTTAGAAAAGATCAGCAAGGTCTCATGAAAGGTGAAGAACTTACACTTTTAGAACAAAGTACTCAGTTAACTCGTACGCTTTCGCACAGAGAGAAATACACAAAAAGCCAACCCTTATCGCCTACATTCTTGCCCGGAGTAAGACTCTTTGGTCATGTATCACACTCTATCGAGCTTGCACGTCGTGTTTGGCTGACTTCAACAGCGTCGATTGGTTCTCCAATAGTCAGCACGTGAGCTCCAGCTGATATTTGCGAACAATGGGAAAGGAATTTACCGCTCGTTTCAGCAGACGCTTGTGGGGCATGAACGCGTGACGAACCCTAAGAACGTCTGCGTGGGAGGATAGTCGTCCTCGTCCTCGAATCTTAAGGTTTCTATTATGATGGTTTTTCCTCCAACCATTTCCGGCCACAAAATGTTGCGTGACAACCCAAACCGTCACGCAACAGTAGCCGCGATAACTTACATGAGCCTGTAGTTGCTGTGATGCCTGTTGCTGTAGCTGCTGTGTTTGTTGCAGTTGTTGTTGAATCTGCTGTTGCTGTTGTTGCAGCTGAAGCTGTTGATACTGGAGTTGTTGAATCTGTTGTTGGTACTGGAGTTGCTGCTGTTGTAGCTGTTGCTGGACTTGCACTTGAACTTGAGGCACTTGGGTTGTTTGGAGCTGTAAAAATTAATTTTAACCAAAGATTGAAACAAAACATGTTTTACAGTTTTGATCAACAGGACGTGGTTCGAGCCCTGTAGTGGGGGCGAGGAGCAGTGCGTGACTCCGGGCCGAGCGGCTGCTAAGGAGACTAGGCGCGCAAGGGCGGTGTAATCCAAAAGGAGGCTGCGTTCCCCTGGATCGGTACCCTTCTTATTCGGGGGAGGCGTTTACAAATGCATTACTCATTTGGGAGGAGGGGAGGGGAGGAATCAAGGCAACTTAGTTTGAGGTCGGCGCCTTTGAAATATGGAAAATGCTCTTTTAAGCACACGCGGCTCTATGTGTGTTTCCGAAACGCGCGAGGGAGGCAATTCGAAGGCAGTCACTTACTTCGCTATTACTGTTATCACTAAGTTTACTAAGTGCGTATATTCGTGTAGTACTGAAATGACTCACTCATTCTGGTAGGATGGGTTCAGGTAGTAAGGAGAGTAGGCTGTAATTTGATGGAAGCACTTCTTTAAAGCTGGGCGTAAATTCAGCCCTTTTTACTGAATGCGTTTAACAAATAGGCATGTCAAGCTGAGCTACTTAAAGAAACCAGTGATCAACATCAATTTTCTCTAAACGATATCAAAAGGTGATAAGATCTAATAAAATGATGACCAAAGGGAGAATACGTTGATCTTTGATCAAATTCTCCTAACTAATTAAGCAAAGTAATGTAGGGAGATCAATCTTGAGAATTAGTAAGCGGATATTGGGGCTTAAAAGGGTTAAACACTCAAAAAACTGACCTGAATAGGTGCAGACTGCACCTGAATAGTGCCATTAGTGAAGGTGACAGTTGGCAGCAACTGAGTCTGCGCAAGTTGCGATGTGTTTACAGTGGTCAGAGCTGGCATCGCTGATGATACTGCGGGCTGCATCATAACAGCTGATAGGCCCGCTGAACTAACTGCGGCTTGTAGAATATTGACCTGAGGCAAGGCCTGTTGGATCTGTTGCAAGGCTACTTGTTGCACAGTTTCAGCTTGCACGGGTTGCTGGGATACTGGTTTCAGTTTTGGTTTCTTGGGTTTTGGATTCAGCTGCCACCATTTTATGAGGCCATGGGATGGAGGTTCACGATCTCCACCTAAAATCACAAGTAAAAGAGAAAGGCCGGTACATTGAATACAGTTTAAAATTGACTTGTTTATTTGCAAAACGGACGGACTTACGGTCAGGTGATTACGAAATTTTCTTGGATGCATTGTGGATCAGTAGGTGTAGCCTTTTTTTTGTATTCGTTCAATCGGCCGGTCATGCATTCTGTTGGGGAGGGTCACTGTTTACAAGGCATTTGCGCAGAAAGAATGATTCTGTGGTCATACAGTGTCGAATTTATGGCCACCCCCACACTTATGTGTTTCCAAAATTAATGTGGACGTGACATCAATAAACCTGCAACTTTTTAAGTCCCTACAGTGGAACGTCGATATAACGAAGGGCCAAGGGACTGGCAAAATTTGTTCGCTATAACGAGGTTCTTTTTCATATATTTACTGTTACTGGGGTCAAGAAAATCGTTCGTTATACCGAGGATTTCGTTATAAAGCGGATCGTTATATCGAGGTTCCACTGCACTGAAGTTTCGAGGGCGTTTACGACACCCTCCTTTTACGTAAGTAACATTACCGAGGAAAACTTTAACCCCAATCTGAAGACTTTCAAATAGATGTTACCTAAAACAATGTTCAGGTATACCCTTGTGGTAATAGAAAAAAAAAACACTTACCTGTTTCCTTCATCTGTTCGTTGACTCTGCCGATGGTACTATGACTGCAACCTGTTACCCAAGAGATGAACTTGTAACAATTGGATCGAGCCCCACCGGAAGGGGTAAGCATTTCGGCAAGAACTCTCCGCGCCTCTGTCTGCCCAGAGATGGCTCTGTCACGCCACTGCTTTAGAAGGTTTGCATGTGTTAGAGCAATCTGTAAAGTTAAAAATAATTTGGTAAGAATAAGGCTTAGTTTGGTACTCTCTCAGTAGTCCCGACTTCCTAAATAGAATGATTATTACGGCTACTGTCGCTCAATTTTATCCTTGGTGCAAATTTTAGTTATTTTTAGCTTTACGAGTCGTAAAGTGTGATCACGAGTTTGAAGCAAAATGATATGAAATTTAAACCAAGGGCAAGAAATGAAAAACGACATAGCTGTTGTCGCATTTTAATGTAATACATAAACTATACTGTTTATGAGCTTTTATAGCAGCATAGATGAATATGTAAAGCATGGTTTCCTCAGTCTACATTCTATACATCCCTAGAATCGCTTCATGAAACACTAAAGAAAAATCAGTGTGTACTACACCCCCCCGCCCCCGCCCGTCTGTAGAGACTTCAGTTTCATTTTTAATCTCGTTCACTCATGGACGTAACGACCGCCACGACATTGGCAATGCCGTCGTTCACGTCGCTGCACCTGTTTTTTATTAGCCTGCGTAGAAAGCATTTCAGCGCGAGTTCGTTTTCAGACATTCCTTGCTAACTAATTTGTCTGAACGCGGGTAGGATTTGTTCGAAGGTTAGTTTTGGTGAGACATTGTCCGATGACCAAATGTTATTTGCAACTCTCCTTTATGCCTTTATATGATACAGTCAAACCTCTACTAAGCGGCTTTCAGTTAACCGGCCAACCTCAGTTCCTCGACCGGTTAGCAGAGTCACGGTGCATAAAATCGTCAGTCAATCACTATCAACAAACAAGTATCTTAAGCTGCCACTTGTGTTGTGTCTTCGCCGAAGTGGCCACTTAACAGCTGTTCGACATTCATGCTCAAACGCATCGCAAAATAATCTGTGTAATCCTGCATGATGACTCTGCTTTCGTGGGATCTTTCTTCTTTTTTTTTTTATCTGACAACTCACCATGACGCAATTATCCACACAGCATCGCTCTTTAGGGAGATCTTCGATCACCCTTAATTTTCCAAGAGCAGCTTTTCCTTTTTGTCTTTCAACGCGAAGTGGTTTCTGGGAAAGAAAATTACCTGATAAGTACGCTGCATATGCTTGTATTAAGCGATTTGTATATACAGAGTCAGAAGGTATTACATGTAACTAACGACTTCTTATTTTAGTCTGGGAATAATACTAAAAATAGCACAGCAATAAGAACACCAACCATGGCCAATCGTTCAGTGATATAAATAAGGGCAAAGTTGAACGTCAAATTTGGTCTATTTTACCTGTAAAATACTACACATTAAAGGATTTACTTTTCAGAGTCATCAATAATTCATGAAGAAAATACAAAGGAAATTAATGTTTTATGAGTGTTTGGAAGTCAGACGAAAAACTTCTCATTTAATTTCTCCTTCTAAAATCATTTCGTTTGAGAAGTATTATCAAGCATTCGACACAGTGTTTCATCAGCAGATGAAACATCTCGAAGTTCGTCAAAATTCTCCGCTGTGCGTCGTATTTTCATCTCTCTTCTGAGTGTTTCATCTTGTGATGAGACACTGCGTCTCGTGCTTGATATATTACTTCTATCGTTTTAATTCACAACGGTTTCCCATACACGTGAATTGGTCAGCCCTATTATTTTAAGTTGCAGCATACCGTAAAATTCCGAAAATAAGCCCCGGGGCTTATATTTTTCAAAGGACTTTTTGAGGGGCTTATTTTTGGAGGAGCTTATATTCGGAGGGGCTTATCAACGGAGGGAAATTTGCGTTTCAAAATTGACTGGGCTAGCCTTATAGTTGGAAGAAAATTTACCGTTTTTGCTTTGTTTTATTTTGTATTTGAGGGCAATTTCCAAGTACAAGCCCCGGGTGGCTTATATTTAGAGGGGCGAATTAACGGAGCGTTTTTAGGGGGCTTATATTTGGGAGGGGCTTAGATACAACTAGGACTAACGTAGCCATGTCAAAATTTATGTACGATAGATCGATTTTGTGACGAAAGAATCACAGTTTGGGCATAACTCAGCAGACATTATCAAAAACCCAGCATCACTTTTCTCTACCCGACGACAGTGTCAAGAAGTAGGCATCGTACTTTTAGCTTACCGTAGGGTCTGTCTTGAGTCTCTTGTGCAAGAAATTGTTGGAATAAAGGAGCACTCGCTGAGTGGCCCGTTCACAAAGCTTTACGTCATTCCTTAGATACTTCCTCTTTTCCAGTACAAATTCTTCAAATTCACTGGACTTTCTTTGGCCATTGCCAAGTCCAATGTTCTTAGACCTAAAAAGCAGAAAGAGCACTGGTTAAGGCATTTCGGACAAAGACAACAATGTAACACTGTGTAACATTCACAGTGGCCAGCCTAATACATTTCCTAAGTGTGTGTAATTAGGGTGTACCTGAGTACTTGAAAAATCACAGGCTGCCCAAGCTTAAGCTGTGAGTCATTAGAGATAAAAAGTGCGGGGATATTTACGATATGCTTTAGAAAACAAAAAGAGAACAAAATTCTCCACAAAAAATACCTTTTCTTAGTTCCATGGTGTATTAATTGCTGTCTGTGCCATACTTTTCCAATTCAAGGCAATTTTGGCGACTTGTAGATCCCTTAGTAAATAGTTTTCCACTCTAAAACTTGCCGAAATCGTCTTGAATCGGGATAATAAGAGGACGGACAACAAGTAATACACCACGGAAGTAAGATAAGGTAATTTTTATTGCAACTTTTATAGTATTTTTGTTTGATAATACATTTCGTAAATATCTCCATACAAATAAACTTTTACAATAAATTTTTGGCCACAAACGCTATTTTTTAATATTATCTTTAATCAGCTAATGACTCGGAGCAGTGAGTTTTTCGTATTGTTTTCTAATACAGCCTTACTTACCTCTTTGATGTTTTGGCTTGGTTTCTTACTTCCTCAATGTTGTAGCACTTTTTAGAGCTGAGTTCTTTCGCTTTCTTGAGCAGCTGCAACATATCATTGGCTCGATCCCGTGACTCTTGCATGTTACTGCCTAAATTTACACAGACAACAAAATCCAAATATATATTTAAACTGAGAGACTTAAAAGAGTTTTGCTTTGTGCTCTCATAAAAGGACATACTGAGCATTAGATGATACATGTACAACAACAAAAATTAAAACTCTTTATTTTAATTCCTCAAATTTAATAGTTATTTGCCCTCCATGAAGGCATATACTTTGGCAACAAAAATCACTTAATTACTGGGACTCAAAAGTGATTGACTATTCAATACACCCTTGCATTATTTTTAAGAAACCTGATTCAAGAAAGTTACTCTTAAGGGGAGTAAAGGGTCCAAAACATTTTTGAACCTGTACCACCAAAGATTAGTCTAATACTGCACGTTCATTGAATCAAAAAACAAAACAAAACAATAGAAAACTAGCCAGTCTTAAAGCACTGTTTTCAAAATACAATAGTGCAGGGTCAAACAAAATTTAAAAAATTTCTAAACTTAAAAAAAGTTCCAACTGAAATAATAGCCTGCAAACGCAATTTTTTTTTCTGGTTGTCGCTTAGAACTCTTCACCTAAAAACTTACTTTTTGGGTGGTGAGAAGCAACGACTGGAAATTCATCTGCATTTGCAAACTACTGAAATGATGACAGTATTGATAAAAGTACACCTTTACGCTATTACCAAGGAAGGCTGCTAGCAGCTATATAACTGCAAAGGGTACAGAAGCAAAAGAAATCCTGCTAATTTACATTATAGAAACATTTACTTAATAGAAGACAAAATCACTCACTGCATGTACACTACATGTGAGTACTTACCATCCCCAATAACATAGCTCTGCAAACAGCCACATGCTCTAAATTTAAAATGAGGACAGCAGAGCCTTTCGGCTGAAAAACAGAGAAAGAAGGGTGGTACCATATTATACCATGTACATGGAAGATCCCATCATTTTTACATAAAGTTCAACTACAACTATATTGGAATACAGTACTGCTCGCATCTAAAATTGACAGTCCCTCATGCATGCTTTGGTCCTCCAGACGTTACATGACTCTGTACTTATACTTGAAAAGAGTCTTGATTTTCAAATCAAGAATTGAAACAGTTGGTAGGTTGACTTACTCTCAACAAACAAATTCAACAAATAGACTACACTGTGATTCCCTGCCCAGGTCAAAAGAGCATAAAGCACGCAGTGTCCATGCATTAATTGGTTACTTTTGTAATGGAACCAAATTTACACTTTTAAAATGTTTGAACACACCAGGGTCAGTTTTACAGCTTGCCATTGGGCAAACTGTAGTTACACTGTAGCACGCAGTAGCCCAAAATAATTTATTTCCTTTCAGTACAATGTACAGTGTAGCCCAAAAACCTTTTTGACGAGGAGGATTGATTACAGTTCTTCTGTAATTTGAATTTCCCCCAAAAATTTCACTGTCGGGCAAGTTAAGGAAAGAATTCACTAGCCTGATGGCAAAATCCACCATCTTCAGGCTATCAACACTACTTTCTTTGCATGCTGATGCAGGTGTTTATATTAAGGTATGTGCAAACAGACACAACAACGTGTTGGTAGAGGTGTGCGAAAGAATGAAACAACTCCCAACAGGGTGTGCAAACAGATGCAACATGTAACAAGTACATGTAGTAGGGTTGGCGGCACAATGTTTTTGCAAGGTCAACCTGCAAAAAACCCTACTCCTTAACATCCAACAATGTTAGGAGTTGTTGGCCAACACTGTTGCGTCCATTTGCATGAAGCTTTACCATCTTGGTCTCCAAGTCCCTCCACCAAAGACATAGCAAACTGATTTGCTTCCTCTTGATATTTTCTCTTTTCTTCAGGATCGGGCTCAGCACGCTCTTTCCTTTGCTTCTTGGGTCGATCAAAAGACAACCCTAAAGCAAACAGTAAATCAATATTAATATCAGTCAGTATCAATAGTACATTAAAATTGCTGTTTCTGAGCCTTGAACTAAAGAGGTTCATACAATGTAAGAAGCACACGTACAACATACTTTTTGGATTTTTTCTACTTATATGGAGAAGGAAGCATGGCCAAGTGGTTAGAGCCCCGGAATTGCATTTCGGAGGCACTGTGTTCCAGTCTCATCCCGACTGCTAGCTAAATTTGTTCTGGCCAGTCGGGATTCTTAATCCCATCATGTTTGATTTAAGGTATGTGCAAACAGACACAACAACGTGTTGGCAGTGGTGTGCATTTGCTTGACCCCACTAGCATTTGTGCTATAAATACTGCTGACAGTAAATAATGGAATTTTTTTTTAATTGCTATTTATGTATCGCAATAGCAAGGTTACGTTTTCAATATATCAAGGTCCTTTTCCACATAATTTATTTTACTGGGATAAAGAAAATCGTTCGTTATACCAAGGACTTCGTTGTATAGTTGTTACATCGAGGTTCCATGTTACTCACCGCATGCATTACAGAGGGTAAGTGTCTTTCCTGTGGTTGGATCAACCTTGTGCCTGGGACTAGGTTGATGGGTAGACAGCTTAGGTCTGTTTCCACGCCTTGAAGGATTAATAACGTATGGAGAACCACATAAGTCGCACTTGAATGGGGTGGCAGGATCACGCCGAGGGACTCTGAGAAGAGGATTAAGTCTTCTTTTTCTTTTCTTTTTTGTCTTAAATTCATCTTCTGGTGACTGAAATCTCACAGGTTTTCTTTTTCTTTCGCGCTCACTAGCTCGTCTCTTCTCTAAGTCTTCTGCCGAGACCTTTGAAGCAGAAATAATAAACCAAACAAACAAATATAAATTAATCAGAGTAAAATTAATGAAAGATAAATGCTCATCTTTTTACACAGGAAAATCGTGGCCAAAAAAATATAAACCATTGTAGGTTTAAGTACCATTATCAAATACATGTACACTATAAGAAAACAAATAAATAAATAACTTTTATTTTGATCAGAATGCATTATTGTTATTAGTCAATAATATTAACATGTGTTTAAATAAATATTTCATTTTCTACTAAATAAAATACAAAAGTGAAAAAAGAATAATGAAGAAGTGTTTTCACCAACCTCTGCATCTTCAATGTCTTGTAGACTTTCCTGAGTTAAATCTAATGCTGATTCCTGGAAATCTTTGGAAGATGACAAACTGCCTGGCTGTCCTTCAGGAGTACCTTCTGCAACATTCTGTTCCCTGCTGTGCCCAAATATAACGCTAAAAACTGCATCGTCGGAGGAAGCTTGATCAAGAGCATTAGTAGATGCTGGGAAAAGATTGGACACACTGCTTGAACTAGGCACTTGACAAGATCCAGTGCCGCTAGTAGATCTGGCTACAGCAGGATCCTTAGATGGCGTCTGTTGTCCAGGTACATTAAGTGTGTCAACTGTGCCTGATGAGCTTCCAGCAAGAAGCGTGGAGACTGCAAGACTCTCACAAGCAGTGCGTACTAGTGTCTCCAGAGCACTTGTGTTTGGTGCACTGCTTGATACATGATATTCTGAATCATCATCATCTTCTGAAGAGGATGAGGCTGTAAAAGACGTAATATTCAATTACCTTATTACAGGAAATTAACACTTCAAGAAATTAACGTAAATTTACAAAATTCCAGTTAATTTATGCCGCTTTGATTTGACTTGAAAATGTTAATTTCTCTTCCGTTAATTAAGTGGAGCACTAATTTATGCGACCTTAATAATTTCCATTATTTTGGACACACTTACAGTGTATGACATTCTTGACACCTAGGAAGTGGAGTATTTTGTCAGGGGAGAGATCCACCAGTACCAGACATGTGAAACTAAATGGCCAGATTTCTTTGCTTGATCCCAGAAAGTATTATGAACAAAGTTTTGATTTCAGATTATTGGTTAAACTTTATTTCTGTTGTCTTGATAAGTGTTGTTTCTTTGTGAGCATTATGTTAATTTCCTTCATTTTGAAATGTTACCCTCTCATTCGAGTTAATTTCCTTTATCTAAAAGTCGTTTTCCACTAAATTCTTCTAATACCTTAATTCCATGGAGCGTTAATTTCGTAAAAAGTATTAATGTAGCATACAAAAGCATAAAGCAGTCAACATGTCTCAAATTTAACTGAGATTCGATTTGCATCTTTTTTTTTTCTATCACTGTTACAGCGTAACATATATTACATGTACTCGTAGATTTATATGTGTACATTTTGTATAAACGCAAAAGATCAAACCAAATACATGTAAAACTTGAACTATGATATTTATAGTTTTTCCCCTGTATAGGGGTTAGAAAGTGCTGAAGGGCACATCTGGGTCATTGTATGACCCGCACAAGAAATATTCGCCTACAAAAGTTTATCCCTCGCTTGTACAGACATGTTGTTTTGCCAACAAAATTCATTTCACATTTATCACTTGAGCCATAACTGCAAGACTTCGATGTAAGCACATATTAGTACTTGGGGTATGAATAAGTGATTCAAAAATATTATGCGACAATTGCATGCTAGCTTGCATCTCAAACAAAGCCCAGATACACTGAAATTTCTCTAAACAGGTGTAGGATGTGTGTGGCATTAAATAACACACATGAGATGGGTATTACCTTCAAATAATTTGACGAAAATACCCATCTTCCTTCCTCCTCTAATCTTCCTGTGTTACAGGCCGTCTAAATCCCTGATACAGATAGCTGTGTAACAGCTCCCAAAAACTTGTTCTGATTTCCTGCTTGTTTTCAGGGGTATCTGTATCAAAACCTTATTGGCTAGATTCTTTATGCACCCAGTGACTAAAAATTTTAAGCAACACATAATGCTCTGCAAATATGCCAAAACCAAATTTGTACACGTTTTGGTAAGAAAATTGCAGCTTTGAATTTAAAAAGGTCAAAGAGGCTGTGTGTGATTCGCCTTTATTGTATGCTGTCGGGACTTATGAAAGGGTATTGATCACAATAATGTATTGCAAGTATGTGCACCAATAACTGAACTCGTTGCGCGAATCCAAAGAGGAAGCAGAAATAACATGTTGGATGTATTCGTATTAAATTCGCCCCACGGTTTTTTTAACTGATAAGCTAATTATTTGTGATGAACATCACAATCTGTGAATTTAAGATCTGAACGCACTTTGGTTGTGCACTTTTAGTACAAGCTTAAGTTTCTCCTAGCCACGAAAACTAAACCTTTAATGTCTAGGCGATTAATCTTCCAATGACAACACAAGTCTTATAATTTTAAAACTCTTTTTAAAGGCCACACAAAAACATCCCATCGACCACTTTTCGTTCATTACGAAGAAGCTAAGGATTGGAAAGAAACTGATCAACTTACGCTAGCTAAGCTTCCTTGTCAGAATAGCGCGGAGAGTGACCACATAAACAACAGACAGGGGAGACCGATGGTTCGAACACAACTTGATACGCGTATTGACGCACAAAGCAAGCCGTCAGTTTCAACTACTACTTGTTCGTTCGAAAGTAAGTTCTTGAACTCCATGACCGGATAAACTCCCATTTCGGTCACACAAGAATTACTTCAAGAAGCTGCGGTTAAGGGGCACGGTTAAAATCTCAATTCTCCTATTACACAGACGGTAGAAGCTAACATAAAGAATAAAATTTGAGAGAATCTGGAAGCTCATACCAGGTGATTGATCGTTGTCTTTCGCGTTTTCTGGTTCTTCCGGCACATTATAGGAACTAACAGGCTCCCCTTGTTGTTGAACTAAAGTGCTGCTCACAAACGCTTGTTCAGTAACGGGCTGAAAGTTTTCCAAGTTGCTGTCAAATGTCTTTTCTGTGTTGATCGCTTCGTTTCCTTCATTCGAAGCCATCTTCTCTTCTCAAAACTATCACCTGCGCGATCTCTGGAAATGCATTCTGGGATTTCTACCGAAGCAAACCGATGATTGCCGACTGTCTACGAAGATTTTTCCTAGAGGAAACTGAAAGGGAAAAACGGGTAATCTTCTTGCTCATGTCCCTCATGGCTTTTATGTGAAATTTAAACCTTCCACGTTGACTTAGAGCACTCAGAGATGCAGGAAACACAATACCCTCCGATTACAGACATCAAGATTGTGTCTCAAAAGGACCGTTGCCCCCAAAGATATTTTATGGTGGGTTTGTCAACTATACATCAGGAATTTCTCTATTTGACATGATTTGAGTTGTAGTCTTAAGCGGTTCCTAAAGCGTTTTGCTATGCCTTTTGTTCTTAAAAGTCAAAATACAACCTACCAAAGAAGTGCACCATGTAGACCACCATGCACAACTTGAGAATTTCGATTCCAGGCTCAAATAATAATAATATAGCAATTATTATACATTCAACTCATATCTCTTTTCTGATTGGCCAAAAGCGTACAGTAAATTTTCGAAATCAATGCCTGGAACGTCATCTAGCTGCAGATTGTACAATAATCATGTCAAGGACACTCAAGGTCATAGGTAATCATGTTATGTATGACCGCGGTGCATGATTTCTAAGGGTAATTATGTCAAGTTTGCATGCTTTGTGTTGCTTGCCGTCAGTGAATTGAAGAAGCAAAAACATGACTTACTGTTGTGACCATTTTTTTTTTGTTCAATGTATAATAAAACAATAATGGCTTTAGCCACTTTATTACACGTAAAACAATAATAATTATTATTAGATTCTGTTTTTGTGATATCCAGAATAATCAAAGTCTCGGTAAGAGTTATCGGCCACCCCTGCCTCGACCTTGATTATTCTGGATATCACAAAAACCTCATCCAATTATAATTATTTATTACTGCATAAGGTTCTGTATGATCTGAAGAAATAATGAAGCTTAAGGAGGAGGGATAACACCCTCCAAGCTCTGCATGATTTTTCAGATCATACGATAGCGGAATTCAATAATTGCTTTATCATTCATTCAAATGATACACAGTGTGGGTCATTTCCGAGTTTCAAAAAACCTCACTTTAAAAACGAGGCTATTCGCGAAGTGCAAAACCATTCCAGTGACAATGAGTTTCATTTGCATGAGAAAAAAACAAAGATTTTCATATCAATGGCTTTACTCTTAGCCCTCTATCACAATCAGCGCCGTAGCTAGTATGAGGCCAACCGAGGCACTCGCCTCGGTAAAATTTTGACGAATTTCGCCGATCATTTTTATTTTACATAAGCGATCATCGGATATTTTTAACGCATCATGATATTACAAAGAATTCAGCAATTCAGTCAATATACTATGAAAAAATTACCATATCATCGATCTCAAGGGGCTACGTACGTTAACTCAAATTTTTTTTGAACAAATACTGATCAAAACCATTGGCGAGGTTAACGGTCACCCAGATTATGTAGCTTGTTTCTGATTATTGCTTTTTAAATTCCACTTAAATTAACTCGAAAAAAAGTTACTGAAAGGCCCAGAAAACGCCGCAAATCGCATTTCCGAGAGACTAAAGTTCAAAATTTCTCGGGGGGGGGGGGAGGAGCATGCCCCCGAACCCCCCTAGCAACTCCCGCCTGCCTCGGTTGGCCGTTTGGTCTGGCTACGGCACTGACAATGGTGGACTCAGAACTTCAAGTAAAGCTGTTAAAACAGGAAACAAAAACGTGGAACTTGTTTGGCAAAATTGCGGCAAAATGAGGTGAATAGTGGTGTTGTACATTTTACCACCCATTTATTAAACCTATCTTGCTACAAATCAGGTTGCTGCAAGTTGTGTGAATACTGACGAGCTCCCGATTGAATAAAATTATGCGGGAGTCATGCATACATGGGAGTTACATCACTTGCTGCAAGACAAGTTTGCCTTAGGCTGGGAAAATGGGCAACGTACAGATTTCGCTGAAAAAAGTAGAACTATTCTATACTTTCTGCAACAAATTTTTACAACCCGCAACAGTTTGAATTGTTGTATGACAGGTTTGAACGTGGCAAATAAAATAGGCAACATCACCATTCAACTCCAGCTTTGAATACAATTATTTTCTTGGCCCTGCAGACTTAAGTTTTCCCTAAAAAAAAAAAAAAAAGGTTGGGATTGGGGTGTGGACCCTCAGAGCATCCTCCCCTAAATCTGCCACTGTACTGTGAAAGCAGGTAATGCCAGTTTCAGCCTTTTGATGACTATTTTCATTGGGGCCCACAGTAAGTTCATCTTGGAACTAACCATCAGAAAGGGGGATGGAAATAAACAATGCTGGATATGGGCCAGCTCTGGCAAAAGCTTTTGCCTTCAGATGTCTTTCAAAAACTGTCCCTGTGTGTAAGACCTAAAACTGGTGGCAGAGCACCCAGGATTTCATGTTGAGATTGGGAGCCTCTGGGCTTTCTCTGAGTATTTTAAGAGCACAGCCTTGATTTGAAGTTGAAGGTTAACTTATTGGTGGACCCAATGAAATAAGTAATCCACAGGCTGAAACCTATAATACTCAGAACCTTTTCAAGAGGCTACAAATTCCCATTACAAGAGAATGCGTTCACATTTTCATCTCTTAAGTCTTGTATACTATACAGTGCAGATTGTTTTCTCCTGATGTTGTCAATAATGCAATCAGTAGTGTTTCACCATGGATGAAATTGGACTAGGTTTTGATACTTAGAACAGCGGTGTTGTGGTCTCATGCTTGTTGACATTGTGGTTTTTGTTACCATAATATTTTTGTTTTTTCTTCCACTGTTTATCTTGTTGGTTTAGCTTGAAAAGACAGTACTTGGACATGATGGCCAGTTATTTGACAGCACATGGCGACACAAAGGAAAGCGTTATCTTTGCTTTTCACGTGAGGTGTGGTAGTATTGACCTCTTATCCTTTCATTTTGTTGAGTTACATGATAGTATATATGTACAGATATGTTGCAGTTAAATTTTTATATCAGGTAATTTTTATTTTTCTTCTGTTTTTGGGTATGGTAATGTATACTGATGAAGTTAAAACAAAGGAAAAATAAAAGTTAGCTGAGATAAAAAATTAACTATAAACATGTATGTGATTACAGGGTTGTCACTAAGATTTCAAGTTACTGGGTAAATACAACAAGTAGGTGGGGAATCAAACGGCTAGGGATTTCTTTTGGTTCTATTTTTCTTCTATTTTCCAATAAAAGTAACCGGGAGCCACTCTCTTAGGAGCCGGGGAAAATCCCCGGCTCCCTGCTCTTAATGACAACCCTGTAAAGTATATATATTTTTGAAAGTGATTTGTGTCTCTGAATTACAAATTATTATTTGATAAATGTCATGTACCAACCTTATTGCCAGTGCTTATGACATTTCTTCCCATTTCATTCTTCCTGGATTGATTAAAAAAACAGAGAAGGAGATGCCAGGGAAGTACACTGTAGTCACTAACCTGTGAAACTAGGCTGGTCATATATCATAACCATGTTTTATGTGTATAAATTGGCAATTTACACATGATTTGTATAATAACAAGAACGCTCTTACAGTGGCGTTCAGTCTCACTTGCTTGGAGATTAGACCGTAAAATGAGGAGGCGATTAATTCGACACAAAACAGGATTTACTCGCTAAAGGTTTTTTACTTCCGACTTTATCGACTTCAATACTTTTTATTTTTTCTAAACTGATTTAGTGTCAGTGATGACCGGAAATACCTCTGCGGTTTGCAGGCCTGGCTATTCGCATGTATAAATACACGAAAATTCAAGGGCCTCGATTCCGGAGAAATAACATCATTGCCAGAGATCAAAAAAGTGATTTTAATAGCACGTCATTTCAATCATCACCGAAAACATCCCTGGAGACCCAGGGGCAGATAGTGGGGGCAAGGGAAAGTCTAAACGGGCGGAAAAATATGGCTCGAAGAAAAGTAAAGAACGGCGAGAAGAGCCCCTGGGGACATTGTCTTACCAGACCAGTTCCAAACGGTCGCCGCCGTTCTGCCTTCTGATTGGGCAGAAAAACTCAAAAATTTTCTGGCACCAATCAGAAGTCAGAACGGCGGCGACCGTTTGGAACTGGTCTGGTAAGACATTGTCCCCAGGGGCTTTTCTCGCTGTTCTTTACTTTTCTTCGTGCCATATTTTTCCACCCGTTTAGACTTTGCCCCCACTATCTGCCCCTGGGTCTCCGAGGATGCACCGAAAAAAAACCGCATGCTCTTTACAAGACCCATTTGCATACAATGAAAGTAAATACAACACCCAACCATCCAAGTTTTGCTAATTAAGATTCTTATTTTTTTTTTCGACCACTCAGTAGTGTTCACTTGTTCCAAAGTAATCAATGCTTTGAAGCAGTAGAATTCGTAAACCGACACGTTTTGGAAAAGCTCTAAATTTAATCTTTCCAGTTGAGCTTTCTTTGCAAAACATGCATGGCTTCAATCACACAACGATTCTTATTCTCATTTTCCATGGTCTCCGCTAGGACGCCTGGCGCAATGACTCCACTTTTCTGTCAAAAATACGAAGAAAAATGCGTTGCAGATTATGAGTCTTGCTGCTTACGCAAGTGAGACTAAATATTATTTTTTTGTGTTTTTAAATGAATTGTTTTGATATCCTGTTAAAACAACTGCTTTCAAGCTATTAGCCTTGAAAGTGACCATGTACATGTGTCATCTTATTGCAGGGGTGTTGGGAAAATCACATGTACATGTAGATTCTAACTTCATGTATTAATTAGCACTTGATGAATGAGGCTGAGTAGGATATGAAATATTAAGCAGATCGAGGAGGGTGTTTGGCCGAGGTGGATAACACCCTCCAACTCAGATCTACTTAATTCTTCATATCCTACGAAAGCCAAATTCATTAATTGCTTTATTATTCATTCAAAATAATTCCTAGTTTAAAAACATAGCTAAAACATGCCTGCCTGCATCGATGTTAAGTTTATCTTCGATAGTGTGTGTTTAGATTTGTCCAGCTCCGTAAATATTCTGCAAATAGCAGATGTCGCCCTCCGAGTTGTCTTCTTGCTATGTTTTTAGCCATTATTTCGCCTAGTTCCAGCTATAGTTCTTACTCTTGAAGCGAGTGAAGTGTCCGCTATTTTGGTTTTCACAACTAAAACAACTCAACCTCGTCCTCAGATCTTCTCGGTTAACGGTGCATTAACCTGTAGAGGGCTGCATTTTTGACATCATTTCCTCGTTAAACACAAAATTCTTCCAAATTTGGTCATCAGTAACTTGTTATGGTGAATTATGCTTGTACTTTTAGCCAATCAGAATCGGGGAAATATTTTGAGTGAATAATAATGGCTGTTTATTTCTTTGCTTCTTTAACAATAATAATGGCCACATTCTTCTGATTGGGTTTTGTCTTCGTTTTGAGAGCAGCATTAATTGGCGATATTATTAATTTTGCTTTCGTGTGTGGTGTTCAATCTAGGGCTAGTGTTTTATCGGGTAAATATGACTAATCATCATACAATGGCTGCATACATTTCAATCTGTTCGTCTACGATTTTTAGGTGGGAGAAAATATTATTGAAGACCTAACGGTAATTGGTGAAGATGATCCTGTGGTAGCTGGATTTACAGCAATAACCAAAGCTCATGATGATGGTCGGTATTACAGTTTCTTGTTGTTGTTGTTGTTGTTGTTTCTGCATGTAAGAGTATTATTTTATTGCCACGAAATATCATATTTCAAGAGCATTGCTTATGATGTAGTTCCTGTAATCCCTATTTCCTCTTTCCTTACCCATGTACAAGTTTCTTTTCCTCATGCGCGTTTTTGTCTCTCTTGAAATTACGGCCAGTAGGACTTTAAAAGATTTTGCCCAGAAGATCCCCCTAGTAAAGATTTCATGGTTTCACAATTGCTTCCTACAACTCTTATTCAGAGAACAGCTTGGTAGAACAATTTTTTCCTTGAAACTTTGTACTTGCAACTGAACTACATTCAACACACACTTTCTATTTTAGATGATAAAGCCTTCAGGAAACATCTCCTATGCCTTAAAATTCAGTCAAGCAAGACAGCAATTAATGCCGTTTGTGATATTGTGCTTATAAATAGAACTAAAGGAGAGACCGCCCCTCCTGGCTTTCATCTCATTGCGTAAGTTTGTACAACCAGTTGGTCAGTTTTCAAAAGTGCCAGTGCTTTGTACTTAGAGTAAAACATTGAGAGAGAAATCAAAACTTATTTTGTTTTTTTCGGAAGCTGGTATTTTGCTTCTGGAACAGAAGGCCACCCGCGAAGAACGCGATCTGCAAACGGGTTTTTGGTAGATTTTAGCTCTTAATAGCCAAAAAACGGCTCGGCTAGCTTCAAAACAGGTTTTTTTGGTAAATTTTTTAGGGGCGAATGGGTTGATGCAGTGCAGTTATTGTACTATCAGTGCTGTAGCCCTCAACGATAAATTTTGACTAGATGTGCTTTTATGGCATTATATGGAAAGGAGGAGTTAGGTATTCAAGCATTTTGTTCCTGCCGTAGAAATGATTTATAGCGGTGCTCTTGGTCAGCAGAGCACCATGGGTAAGAAAATTTGGTCATCTATGTGCATCCGAGAAAATTTGGTAGTCACGTGACCGTACATACACCCGCCTGCGCGTCCCCCCGCACCACAGGCGTACCAATGTAAAATAACTCAATTAACAGGTATGGCAACCCAAATGGAACTCGAGGTTTTTCGCGAAATCGGGTGGCCACCCGCGCGCCGGACATTTAGAGAGAAAAGACAACAACAATCTCGAGTCTTTTTTCGACTAAGTTTTAATGTCTACACTGACGTGGATAACAGAGAAAGAGCTAGAGCGAAACAAATGAGACGAATTTAGTTGGAAAAACAACTTGAAAATTTTATATCGTTGGTGGGAAAATGAGAAATGCTAGCGGTCAGCAAGGAGAAGACAGCAAGGTAAAAAATAATTAATGGGCTACAGTGAAAAAAAAGCGAACAGGAAAACAAGCAAAAATATCTTTGGTGAGCGCATTCGACATTTTTTTCCCATAAAATGTGTAACTAGAAAGTTTCACGTCGTGGCCGTGCAAAGTAACGGCAAAGAAATGTACAAAAAAGTGTGCTGCACGTGCAAAGTTGTCTTTTTGTCGCTAATTAGACTGTTGATTATTTCGCAGATCTCCTTGCCGTCGCCGTTTAGCATCGCTCGATTTTATTTTTTGTTTGAGTAAATTAAAAGTGTGTTGACGAGACCTTCGCTTTTAGCCCTGGTTAAATCTATGTATTAGGTAGTCTGTGGTGGTAAAATTATTCTTTGACTTTATTTTCTCTAGGAATGAGGTAAACAATATATCAATATGTTACAAAGTGGCACCAATTATAAGACAGCAACCTGCAGCTGCTAATACAGGACAGCAGTATATGTTCTCCAGTGTTCCTCATTCTCTTGGACCAAACAGGCAACAATGGTCAGAATATTGTTGTGTTTTTTTATATTAACTTAAGAGTACAGAACATTGTATTAGTAGTATAGCCACGATGGTCATTTCTTGATCTCTGGTAAGATCACCTCCCATAAACACCCAAAATTTCCCAGTCAAAGCTCTATGGTAATCGCTGTTGAAACCTTTTTTTATCTACCACCTCTCGCAAGCGACTTCGTCCCTTTTTGTTTTGATGGCTAATACGCATTAGAGTAAGACTCACAAACGTCAGATTCAAGTTGAGAATTTCTCAGAATAGAAAATAAGCAGGTAAGAACTGTCCAGAACAATTCTTATGTACAAGACTGGCGTAAGACTAATTATTTTTAGTTTAAGTAATAAAAAAACAGTTAACGGCAATTAAGGGAAAAACTAGTTCGCGTGGTACAAATTCACGTTTGCCGTTTGGCGTAAACGTGAATCTTAATCTCTCTACTGTCAGATCTCTTAGTTCTCTGTATATAGTTCGTTTCTCGGTGTATACGGAGAACTTTTAGTGACAACGTGGAACTACACATAACGTAACTTAGGCCCTGTTTACAAAGAGAAAGGGTAACCTTGGTGCTAGGGTTACCCTAGCATTCGCACATTTCTTCTTTTTTTCACAGGACGTGTTTACAAGGCAGGTAGGGTTACCCGAGCAAGAGGGTTACCCTACATATACCTGCCTTGTAAACGCTCTGCTAGGGATAACTCGCCTACTCGGGACAACTTTCTTCCGTCATGCGTGACCAGTAATCTTGACAATTTGAACGGAATTATCCATTTTCTGAGCTAAATTATAAATATCTGAACAATATAAGGTATTTTCTGTATACGATGATTATGTTTTCCCGTTTTTTGGTGAATTTAGCGTGTTTCCATAGAGAACTCAGGGTCCGAAATTAACTTTTTAATACGGGCGCCAACTGACGATCAAGTATAAATTTTTGGTCGCCAGAGGGCAAATTGTGGTCGCCAAAAATTCCCCCTCCTTTTTACAAATAAAAGTTTAAACACAAATAGCAAATAGCTTCGAGGTTTCAATTCTTAATCAGTTTCTCCGAACGTTAAATTCCACATTAACAACCAGCTTTACAAGTCGCTAGCTGGCGACCAGCTATGAAATTCTGGTCGCCAGGACTAAATTTTTAGTCGCATTGGCGACCAGAAAGGCGCAATTTCGGACCCTGTCTCAAGTTTTATTTCAAATCTTGGACGTTAAATGTATAAAGAATGTCACGCTTGACAAAACACATCATTAAAGCTGGTAAAGTTAACCCGGGTGATAGGGTAACCTTGCCTGTGAAATTTGCTTGTAATCCAGAGATAACTTTAACCCGCTTGGTAGGGCAACCCTAGCACAAGGGTATAAACCCTCTCTCCTTGTAAACAGGCCCTCCCAGGAGATACCGTAAAAATTTCCATCCCGCTGTTGCGGACCGTAGGGCTCTTGTTAGAGTCAATACCCTCCTGTCAGCCTTCTTTTTATAACCAAACTACTTTAAGGAGGTAGCGTGGCCGAGTAAGCAGCTCGTCGGACTCGCAAATCGGCCGTACCAGGTTCGAGTTCCGCTCTGACTTCTTGATAGATTTGTTCTCGGTAGTCCAAAGTTCAAATCCTCGGTCACACCTGTAAGTTGGCGTTTTTAATCCTGTTATGTTATATTTGAATCATTTCTTTCTATTTGACTGGAGTGCCTGTAAATTAGCTGCATAAGCTAAGTGCACTAATTCCATGACAATACAAACCTGTAACCTTTTAAGGCCCGTTTCAAACGTCGTGCTACCGCCGTGCCGAACTCAGTTGATCGAATTAAATTCGACTTAAGCACGGCAGAAGCGCGACGTTTGAAACCAAGTCGTGCTACTGCCGTGTAGCACGGCAAGCCTTGCCGTGCTACACAGCAGTAGCTCGACTTGGTTTCAAACGTCGTGCTACCGCCGTGTCAAACTCAATTCATAAATTATGAACACATTAGAATATATTTAAAAGGTTGCTAAACCGTTTCTTTATGTTTGTGTTGTGTTTTTGGCAACAGCCGTTCCATTCGACTGTCATAGTGTGAATTAAATTCGACGTCTGAAACCAAGTCGTGCTAGTGTCGTGCTGCAGTCGAGCCAACTTAGCACGACAGTAGCACGACGTTTAAAACAGGCCTAAGACAATTACAAGACAGTGAATATTTACGGGCTCCTCTTGTCGCCCGCAATCCTAATCTCCAGGTTGTTATTAAGCATGCATCGCATGTATGTAGCCAGCATTCGTTTGGACTTTCACTAGGAATGAATGGAATTTGATCAGGCGCGTTTGGACCTTCTCTCACTTTTTCACGTGAAACATACGCAAAGCACAGCAATGGAGCAAAAGCCTTTTGACCTTCGATCGTTGTCGCCCGCACTCCGTAACCTTTGGTTATTGCTAGTTTGTAAAGGTGTTTGCTGATAGAGCGGTTTTCATTTGAGTGTCGAAAGGTAATTGGTTTTGCGTTTACTACGCTACGTGATTGGCTTAAAAGATTCGCGCCACTTTTTTATCCAATCAGAAGGAAAACCAAAACCAATTGTGTCACGCTCGCATGCATTTTCGCGCGCTTTGCGTCAGCTACATGTAATTACTTCGAGTTTTAATTGGTTCACTGTATTGTCTGTGTCCTTTGTGATTGGCTAGAGTAATTACTTTGGTTTTGGTTTTACGATACTCAAATGAAAACCGCTCTATTTTGTCTTATACTGAATTGTAGGTATGGACAGGCGCCTCCACCAGGACACTGGCAGGTTCAGCAACAACAACAACAAGGTCATCCTGCTGCTCCTTACCCGGCTCCATATTCAAGTCACCCTACTTTAGAAACGTTGCATTCTAGACCTGGAGCTTTTTCAGGTACGCTAACTTTATCATAAAAACAATCTTGTACTGAACAGTAATTGGTGGTTTCAACCTGAAGACGGGAGAGTATTACTTGCCTTCTGCGTACAGGGCAGATGGCTTAAAGAGGCAAAGTGATTTGTCCATGACCAACTGCACGATCACCGGTCGTTTCGCTACAAAGCAAGGCTCGAAAAAAGTCCGGATCATTATACATTTCTGGGAAACTGCCCACCTACCCCTTCCCTAAGCCAACATTAACACCTACTTCTCACTTAGGGCAAAATGTTGTCTAGGGGGAAGGGTAGGTGGGCAGTTGCAAAGAAACGTATAATGATCCAAATAGGTCCCGTCCGGTAGACGTGACAAGTAGAATTTCTTGCTGGGTATGTAATTTTTTAAGCTGACCTGCCCGATTGGTAAGGGTCAAATCAATTCATCCTCTAACAAAATCATTAACTCAGACAAGCAAGAAGTGGCCCCGGGCAAGTAAATCGCGCGAGCTGTTTGTCCAAAGGACAAGCTTGAAATCTAGGTTTTTAGTCGGTTGATTTTTGGTGCATATTGACGTCGTTGCAAAGTTGTTTCCCTAGAAAGAAGTCGTCTCTTAGCAAAGTCGTTTCGCTAAAAAACAAGTCGTCTCGCTTTAAATGCAGCGGAAGGGCTGTACATGTAGCGAAACGACTTTGGAGCGACACGACCGGCCATTGCACATATTCCAAACCTCCATAGTGTGCATAAGAAAAAAGGTGTAAATTTGAATGTTTTGCATAAAAGACGGTCATAAGAGGGAGATTTTGAATTTGCCGTTGTCAATCCTGTAACGAATTTTATTTTTATTTCTAAATAGTTGCTTTTATTTCTTTTTGTTCAGTTTGTTGCGTTTGTAAAGGTTAGGGTTACGGCTACGAACGTTAGGTATTCTTCAGCGATCGTAGCGAATACATATAGACACAAAATACATCCTTATTAACCCCGGATCTAAGCCCCCACTACCTTACATTGAAGAATTCGATTCATTATGAAGTTTTGACACCTTATTAAAGGAGCTGTGTCACGAAATTCAGCCAAATTAGGAAATCACAAAACGCCCGTTCAATTAACAGAAACACAAAAATAACTGCTTAAAACTTTAAAGGACGGTTAAAATAACATAACAGAAACAACAGATGCCACGGATGGGCAAAACTGAAGAAGATTGAAACGGATTGAAATTAGGGTTTTTGAAAACCTCCAAAGACCCTCAACTTCAAAAATAATGGGTTTATTTGTCGGCGATTTTCTTTGTTTATTTCCATCGCGATTGAAAAAATTAAACAAAATGAACGGACTGCCGTAACACAGCCCATTGAAACCGGGGTTTAGGCGGCGATTTAAGATTAGAAAATATTCACATTACTAAGATAGAAAATATTCACATTACTGCTTACGAAAAAGAACAAATTGAGTACCGTTTGTCTAATAATTGGTTGATTTTTACTTCCAGCCATTGAAGGCCTTCCGTTTCAAGTAAATTCCAAGTTTGATATCTTATGGAAAAAATCTGGGGTGAGTTTTTACCTTATAGTTTATTAATATAAAGTACAGTAGGTTTGATTGAAGTTTCCCAGAGTAACAATTTCATTGCATTTCCGGACGAAGTACATGTCGTAACTGGCGTGGGGGCGGGGGGGAGGGGTAGTGTGGGGAGTGAGAATTGCATAATCCCCTACCTAGATCTTCAACAGCCAACCGACAGATTTAGTGCCCGTTGGTCCTTTTCAAACGAACCGACGGATTTAATGCCCCCTATCCCCGACGTTCCACTCCCAACATTAGAGACCTTTAGATTCTAAGACCGGGACAACTACGAACACGAGACTTTCCGTAATGCGCGCGAGTGCACCAGCATCATTTTGGCGGGAAAACTCGATAGCCATCTTCATTCTGCCATGGCCTACGGGTTTTAGTGAGAATGCCGTAGCGAGGGAAACGTTGTCAAATGTTAGGAGTTTCAGTTTATTTTTGTGATCCGGAGAGGCTTAACTTTCTTAAATAAAAATAACCGCGTAAACTTTTCTGTTGAAAAAAAAAAGGGTAAAATGAAGCTTGGCGGAGCGTGTATTTTTTGAGACGGCACCCACAAAACAAAAAATAAAAACCTTTAAGTCAAAAGGCTCCTTCTCCTCTTCTAATCGAAAGTTCTCTAGCGCCCCCTCCCACTCCCCCACAACAAACATTTTGTCCTAAGTGAAAAGCTAGTGTTAACGTTGGTTAGGGGAGGGGTAGGTGGACAATTTTCAAGAATCTTCTACTGATGTCCATTAAGGTAGCTGTCGTTATGGTGGCATGCCATTCCTGTGTAACTTGGAATGGTTTGTTGTAGTGTTAAGTTTCTAATTGCTGTTTATGTTTCTGTATTCTAGCCGGCAATACCAAATGTTCAAACCTTATCTGTAAATGACATAGATTCAAAGGTAAGTCGATTTATCCTCTCTTGATTATAGTGTAGTCATTCGCGACACGTGACACAGTTCCTATACACTAATTGGTAAACGTCTCTGAAGACGTGCGATGCTGTTGTTGTTTTACTAGTAATGCCTTTATAAAAAAATGCGTCGGTTGGCTGAAATCATTTCATGAAGAGGCTTATCAAAACGCTTGACTCGCGTTTGGATTCTTTATAGCCAATAACTTCTCAGCTAAACGGACCAGTAAGTTCGCAACTTATTGACCGGTTAGAAATCAGCTTTAGTAATCACTTTAATTTACATGATGTATGACTTCCGCACAGTTCCTTGAAGCTTAACGTAAAACAACAGTTCTATTCAAAACTACACTCACCTGAGCGATGATTTTCCAGCTACTTTTGTGATATGTTCCTAGGATTAGCAGGGCTACAAGCTCAATTTTTTTAAAGCTGCCTTTTTGCAACATTTAATTCTAAAGTGGTCCCCAGATATAGCATGTTGGTCGCCGAAAAGGCACTTTGTGCAGTATTACATAACGTTTTGAACAGAAATGATAAGAACGGCTGTCGGCATTCAATTTTGGAGGTGCACGCGCACGTGCGGAGGAACTTGATTTTGGAGGCGCAGGCGCACGTGCTGCGCACTCACGGACAGCCAGGGTGAAATAGGTTAAAGAAAATGGAAGAACTTTAATTTAACTTTGGAAAGGCCATAAAGAAGATCTAATTGAAAAAGACAGTCCACCCACTATGACTGGCGCATTACCGCTAAACTTTTTTCGCTAAATTGGCGAATCTCGCTGAACATTCATCTTCAAACCTGTTTAAATTTCGTAGCTTTTATGTCCTTGCAGCAAGAGGGAGGGATGATCTCTCTTGCCTCAAGGTGAATTTTAAAAGCATGCATTGGGCTCGTTACTTGTGAGTTTGTGGATGAAATCCTTTGGTGTGACGATTGTCCTTCCGCGCTTCATTCGGTCTGACGAAGTGCGAGCATTCGAAACGTCAGTCTTAAAATCTTTTTGAGGTAGTAAATTGACTTTAGCTCTGTTGGTAGAGCGCTTGACCGCAGAGTGGGAGGGAGTGGGGCCGATTCCCGGGATCGGACTAATACTCAGGGTCTTAAAGTACCTGAGAAATGAAGGTGCTTCCTTAGTCCTGCAAACGGCTAGAGCTTCGCTTGGCTCGGATAACCACGTAAAATGGCCGTCCCGTCTCCAGTAGGAGACGTTTATAGTGTCCCCAATTAGTACTTTCGTGCGAAATACATTGACACTCAAATAAAGAGCATTTTTTGTACTCAATGTTCACTTAATGAGTGGAATCCTTTCATGTGGTTATTGACTTTTTTCGGACCGCAAAACTTTCGCTTAGTATAGCTGTGCTTTTGATCATTGAGTCCTGGGGTGGTAAGCCTTCACTTTTGTTGATTGTAAGAAACTCAATTACCAGGTTATTCCTTTTGTATTTTTATTTTGTTGTACTTTTATTTCTTGCTTCACAGTACAATTATGACTTTAGCAAAGAACGAGCTGTAATTTCAAGATGAAGTAGAATTCTTGTTAATAAAGACGCCTACACGCCACATGCCGGACAAGATGACTGCAGTTTCGTGGACCTCATCTAGATCCATGCATTTTCGAAACGTCGTTTACAAATACGCGTCAAAAGCTCCAAGTCCGTAAAATCGTTTTTCGTTCGTTTTCGACCGTTCACCTCAAGATGCCTGTTTCAAGGCTAATGTTAGACGTGTGTTAAATTTCCAACCTTGCTGTGGGTCATGCTTGAGTAGCTGTGACGTCAGCGTTTTAGGAAAGCGTTTTGCCGTCCACACTAAAATGACAGACCTCCATCTTTTAAATGAGTTCACTTTCGAAATGGCGTTTTCTTTGGAAAGTGTCTGTTTTTTTCTGCCGTGTTAATACGCATAAAATTAAAACGCACTAATTTGGATTGGGTCTTGCATAGGTTATTGTTTCTCGAAAGAGGTTTAACATATGTTGAGGAGAGGAAGACTTTCTTCAGGCTAAAGGAGTACTTGGACCAATCTTACTGTATGTAGACGGCAAAGCGTATGTGCTCACAAAGTTACCGATATCTCCACGAGTGTTGGCTTGTCGAACCTTTCGCTCAGGCTGTGTTCTCACTATACCGTCTTTCCGTGCCAACACGAAAAGGTATCGGGTATAGTATGAACACCTGTCTGATATGTGGATCGTCACTTTAGAGATCGTCGCGGCGCGGCTTCGTTCCGTAAAGCCTGGTTCTGATATGCCGCCGATGTATCTACGAAGTAGCCGCCGGTACCGCCTTAGCTACCTCTCGGACGAATGAGAACATGCGGTGCCGGCAACTAGAGCCATCGCAGAGCTTTACCGCCGGCATGCCTGCGAAGTTGAACTCGAGTCAACTTCGCAGGCATGCCGGCGGTAAAGACTGGGATTACCAATGTTGCCGGCCACTTCTGATCTCATATCGGAACAGTATCCCAGGCACCAAGCAGTACCGGCGGCCATGTCGCAGGCACAGCGGCGGCATATGAGTACCAGGCTTTACAGAACTTGCGGCGACATCGCCGTTCTTATTTGTGAACAGAATCCTTATCCGGTGTAGTTTTCTTGCAGGCATGAAAGCTATCCGATATAGTCTGAACATGTAAAACTAGCGCAAACAAATTATTAGGTATTAGTACAATAAATTCATAATATAAGGCTTTGAGACTTCAACTATTAAAGTGAACGAAAAATATGTTTATTCTATAGAAAGTAAACTAAAGAGATGACTTAAGGTAAAGTTCCCATTCACCTTTATCATAAACGTTGTAACGACAAATAGAAACAAACGGCAAGCGAAATATAAGATGTGAAAAAAGGCGATGTAGTCGTCTCTCTCGTTTGGGAGTTTACGCAACGACGACGGCAACGGCTACGAAAACGTCACTTAAAAAGTGAATTTGCGCTACCTCAAACTTAATCTCGCTTATTTCAGCTCCTTTAATTCGTCAAATGTTGGCAAATTTTTTTGGAGTTGAATTCTAAAGGACTGCATCAAAGTTCAGGAAAAGAAAAAGAAAGTTGTTGTCTTTTGTTCCCGTCCTCGACAAAACGTGAAATTAGGCAGTTTCACGTTGTAGTCGTACAACGACGGCAGAGAAATGTACAAAATAAGCGTTTTGCCCGTGCAGAGTCTTTTTGTTTTGCTTGTCTAAACCTATTGCTTTTTTGCCGTTCTCGTTGTCGTCGTCGTCGTTGCGTAAACTCCCTATTAGTGAACTTAAGAAAAGACGTTTTTGAGCGACGCACGTCAACCGGAAGTGGTTTTTTTTCATTTTTGGACAGTGGTTTTGCCCATTTTTTAGGACAACTTGTCTCTATAATAGTTAAGACACTTAGAAATACAAATTTGGGAGCGTCAAGGTGCTTTAAAATGAAAAAGACCTCTTTTCCGGTTGACGTGCGTCGCTCAAAAACGCCGTTGCTTAAGGTGGCTGAACACAGTTTTGCGGGCGGTCAGCGGTAACTTGCGTGTCGGCACGTGTTTTAAATTAGACAGACAAACATGGCGGCGAAAAAGCAATGGACACAGAAGACGATTTCTCAAAATCTACTCATTAGAATTTTGTGATATTTAGCAGAATTTTTCCTTTCATCGTATTTTTAGTAATGAGAACTTTAAAATGGAAGTTGAACAGACGAATTTTGTGACACATTTACTAATTACAGTACAATAAATTATTGATTATCTAAAAACCCGTCTGTTAAAATTTGGTCAAATAAGTTTCAAATTATAATGATTAATTATAGTAAGCCGTGTGCAAGTTTATAGGAAAATCTAATGAGCGAATTTAATGTAAACTGAGAAAACGTGAAATTTTAAGGTTGTATTCAATCGTTCATGTTGCCATGGAAACTACGAAAACGTCAATTTTTACCTGTTAATCAAAATCTTTCATCAGTACATTTTTCACTTGCCAAGTTTCAGCTTGTGAGCAGCAACCTTGCTCTTGCCATGATTTGGCAAATGACACATAATCACAAACTGCCAAAACTGTGTTCAGCCACCTTAACCTCCCTTACGTAACTCTGTTCCTTCATTCCATGCTTTATAGCAAGCTGACATTGGTTGTGGGGGATCACTGCTTCTTCTGCGAAAAGTGGCAGTGGTTTTTGAGGAGAAAACTTGCACAAGAATACGCTGAACCGAATGTTAATATTTTTTGGTGCATAAGGAGTTGAACTTTTTCTTCCACATTCTTCCTACTAAGTGACGATTTTTCAAGGTCGTTAAATTTGAGACTGTGTGTTTTTACAGCTTTTAAACTAGTGTTTCTCTTTGAGCTTGTTGCTTGTTTAAAAAACGTGTAATTTAGGGACGGACCACTAGAAAAGTTAAGGGGGAGGGGGATTTTCGAGCCGCAGGAATTTTTTTTCGTTATCAAATTCCTTGTATGATTTTTTTAGGCCATAGCATGAATATTTTTTTAGGATTAATTGGCGTGCATGAATTTGTTTTCATTTAATTTTCCCTTGCGCGAATATTTTTTTTGTACTTCGCCCCCCATAAGTTTTCTAATGGTCCGTCCCTTATGAAAAACTCCAGCGGCGAAAAATATGTAAACAAAAAATGACAGAGATCCTCCTGCTAGAGATGCGACACTCCTGCATTGGAATAAGGCCATGCATATCGACACGAATCTGGTCAGTTGTGAAATGCATATTTTTATATAATCCTCAATCGTGTGGGCAGGGACTTTAACAGCGGTTTCAAAACACTGCGTTTTCTGTGACTGGATTCACTGGTTTCGTGTGCCGGGCGGAGGGCCGATTATTCGTGTTAAAATTATGCAGTTTCATAAATATCCGGATTCGTGTTAGTCTCCCTCCCAGCCGTTTGATGGAGAGAAGCGTTGCCTGACGAGACAAAAACGACTCCGAGGAAGACTTAGTAGTTCGTGTCGACGTAGTCAAAGATATCGATAGGGACTTTAAGATCCAACGACGCGACGGCAATGAGAACGTCGCTTAAAAAGTGAATTTGCGTTCTTTCAGTCTATATCGCAATTATTCCTACCTACTTACTTTGTCAAATGTAGGCGAACCCTCCTGGAGTTGAATTCCTAGGCACCATATACAAGTAGAGTAAGAGAAATGAAATTTCGTGGTTGATTGTTTACGTCCTCCGTAAAACGCGGGCAGGTTCACGTCGTAGTCGTGCAAAAACGGACAGAGAAATGTACAAAAATGATGGTGCACGTGCAAAGTTGTACGTAAGTTGTTGTTTTGCTAATCAAACCTTTTGTTTTTTTTTACGTTCTCGTTACCGTCCGGGTTGGATCGACCGATCTTCCAGGACACGGTCGCGATGGCGTCGGGTGGATCTTTGATGTACTAGTATAATAAAAGAGTTAGAAAGGGAAAAAAGAAGGAAATAGCCTGCAGACGTATTTCCGGTTGTTTGAACTTTCTTCCACTTCGTTTATGATGACTTAAATTGATCGTGCTTTGACGGGTCTGACAAAGCGTGACGCGCTAAATGTTTATTCCGCTCCATTTCGCTATATTAATAAGCACGTACAGAGGGTCTGTCTCATCCTACATCCTATGCGCATGAAGATGGCTACGTTCATGGGAAAACTTTTGCTGTTTCTATCTGTGTACGTTTCACAAGTTAAGGCTCAATCAGGTAGGGCTTACCGTAAATTTGTTTCTTTTATACACTAGAAATACGTATCTCGCAACTCGGTGTGGTAACTTAAGCCCTATCGGGTTACGAACTGGATGGGTGACCATCCGCGAATATTGTCTTACTAGTAAAGGTCCATACGTTGTTCTTTCTTTTCTTCTTCTTCTCTTTTGTGTATTATGTGGTGTTATTGTTAACAGTGTATTGAAAAGCAGATTTAGCATTATTTCTGTGTCCGGATTTAGAAAAAGAAAAAAACAAAGAAATATGGCCCGGTGCAGTTCGCCTGAAAATTATTATTCTTCGGGCCGTAATATAGAGCTGAAACTTTGCAGACTTAATTTGATCTATATATGAGCGGGGAAACCGGCAAAGTAAGAAATCTGGGTTTTCGACAGTGTAAAACGATCATAATGCCTCTGATTCCCTGTTCCTCTGTCTCTTGTTGTCGGCGTTGCCTTCGCTGTGCTAAGCGATTTTCCTTCTGCTCCGCGGTTCCTTGTTGACGTCTTCTCCTTCGTTGTTCACGCTGAATTTGAAGTCGGCGTTCTCGCTCCAGAGGAGTTTCGGTGGAAAATCTTCCTGGGCGACGATTTGGAGCCACTTGTTGTGCTTGTGTGTCTTTTGTTCGTGATTTACCGATGGTAAACTTTGTTTCACAGACGATGAATCGCTAGCCTGAGTATCAGGCCTTCCTAAGGGGCTAGGGGAGAGGAGATACTCAGGTTAATGAATCGCCTTGCTCATCGGCAGCGAAGTCTATGTTGCCTGGAAACGCAAAATGCTCCATGACGTCATTGGCGGATACCAAGCATACCGTATATTCAGAGAGACATTAACCTGAGATCAGGTTTTTTTTTTTTTTTTTTTTTTTTGTTAGAGACTTAAAGGGATAATAGGGAGAGGGCATGATCTCAGGCTAGAGAGAGATTTATGAAGCCTCGAATTTCGCAGCTGGCTAAGACCACGCGCGGTTAGCAGACTGCGCGCGACAAGATTATAAAGTCGCTACGCTCGGAATAAACTTGTGCGTTTGTTGGCAAGTTTTGATCATAGGCCTGTCGTGTGCCTCTGACTGATCACCTTCTTAAAACACCAAAACCTTCCAAGTAGGTGAACTGTTTTGTAAACAACCACCTCTCGTTAGCGGCTGCTGCAACCAGTTTTTGAGGTGATGGTTTTATTATTCTCCATTGTTTTAAAGCAACTTGACAAAAGGATCAGTGAATAAGTATTAGGGAAGACAAAAACATAGATAAAGATTTATCCAGGCAGCGGTAGCGCTACCCACCATTTGGACAACTGCATGGGGCCAGATCTCTATGTTTGCTGTAAGAACATACATGCACTATGCTTCAAACAGTGTATTCTACACAGAGAATACAAATAGCTTTGATTGACATGGAACTACAAATATTGTGACATAAAAAATGCACGCAGTAAATTCTCTTCCAAACACTCGTGGGCATCCATCTTCCAAAAGTGACCCCTCACCTTTGCATTTTGGGTTAATGCCGAAATGAGAGGTTTCATGTGTATTTCATGTTACCAAACTGATGCAAGAGCAGAAAATTTGTTAGGATTTAATTGGGAGAAATAACACAACAGTTTTCAATTTACAAGACATGTTTCGGCAAACGTATGCC